TTCTTCCCCTCTTTGAGTACTGTTGCCCTTTTTTGGTTTAACGGACTCATATGTCCGTAATAAAATCAAATATTTTCAGAGTTTTTACTCGAAAACTCCTCTTTCAAGCTGCATCCAGTATTTTTATACTGAGGTGTGTCAGTTGGCGAAATTTTTATGGATTAGAAGACTCGATGCTGCCCTTTGTTTCCTGTTTCGCATTAACTCTAGCTCTCGTCTTCCGCGCACTGACACTCCTACTCCGGGGGATCGGTCTTAAGTCACTTGTAACTCCCCCAAGGTGATTTCGCCGCCTCTCTGCTCCACATCTAAATGCTCCCTCGTTTTGCATCCAGATATGCCCTCCTTTGCAGTAATTTTTCACCAGAACTTAGGTCATCGGCTGAGTTATCGGTATTTAAATCGCAACCACGCAAGCACCTTACACTGGAAAGTACAAAGTCACTATTGACCGTTTCATTGCCGAACCCTCAACTTCTCAACTTTGACAAGGGTCCTTCTGGGATTTACTAGTAGATAATTCCTGTCTTGCTTGTTCAGGTGGAAACTATCGCTCATATTTTTACAACCATTTGTTCTTAATTGGCTACCAAATCCCTGTTATTACTCCTCCCCCGTAGCGATGATTTTCGCGGTCCTTGATGTCATCTTCTCATTTTCGACCTGAAACGGTCTATTGTCATTCTCGGCGGAATTCTGTGTTTTAGCCATCTGCTAGTAGTTTGGTCGGTCAGCAAAGAAGTGTCATGGTTGCATCTCCCCGTACGCTTTGACGACCGCCCCAGTCTTCAATGTCTCCTCCTCACCTAGAAACTAAGCGGGCTCTAACCGATCGCGTATGGCTTTCTCTCATACCGCCACTCTGACGGGGACAGGCTCATCCTGTTCAGGATCTCTACCTTAACGATGTCTGCTTCGAATCCCTTATGCACTATTATAGGTAGGCCAGTTCTGTCCGACCCGCATATCTACCCTTTAATGAGCGGCAGTTTTTTCCTATTGAAAGCCAATCAAATCGCACTCAATCTACTTTTTCAATAGAAGGAGTTTCTCAACTGTTAGCTGACGTTTTTAAGCATCTGACTGCTTATTCCATAAGCATGAACTAAATATTGTACAGAGTCTGTCAACTTGTTCTAAAATGCTCTCGAAATCTATTGTTACTTGTTACGGTAGTATCCCCAGAGGTATCTGATAACAAATCTATTGATTAATACAAAGATAAGAAAATTACTTTAAAGTCAAAATCAAAATTTCTTTAAGGAAAAATTGTAAATGAAACCGAAGCCTCAACTAATCAAATGCGAAAATGAACGCTTGCTGTATCCCTCAACAAAGTTTAGTTGAATAGATTTAAACAGCAAAGGCAGGGAAAAAATTTTCCGATACAAACGAAAATGCGAGTGGCGGGACGTGGTTGAGATGGAGTGGATGTGATGGCTAGAACAAGGACTTTATGCGTCTGACCTTTCAGACTCACACTCAAACCCATCAGCAGGGACAGTACCAGCTACGGGTATTTCGTACACAGGAGACTGCAGTATTTATAGGATGCAACTGCTAATGTTAGTACATACCCATGACAGTTAACGGATCCCCTCTTCATCAAAGATGGCTGCCCTCTGGTGTACCAAATGCTTACTTGTCGACATGCAAGTCGTAAGCTGGCGTGGTGATGGCTCCGTCATCTGACGCACCGGCCTACGCACTCCCCGTGTGGCTAACTACTTTGTCCAAACTAAGTCTCAGCACTAAACATGGTGCGGGGAGGACACTGCAAATGTTAATGGAATAGTGACGCGTGAACCATGACTCTAGAAATTTGCGGTTCACGCGATTACTACTTCTCGCGAGAATTGCGGGGTCGTAGAACTTGAATGTGTGTCCGGGTCTCTTTGAATGAGCCGCGACTTGAGAGTTTGAGTCATTTATCGAATCTGGGGCTTTTGCGGACAAATCAATTACGTCGGAGGAACTAGAAGACTCCTCGAAACCCGAATTGCCGAACAAGGACAGCAATGGGAGAAATGACTCCAACTTACAAGTCGCGGTTCATTTGACGAGACCCGGAAACATAATCAAGTTCGATGTGGCTAAAATTCTTGTGAGATGTGATGATCGCATAAGCCGCGATTTGCTCGAGGCCACAGTCAATGAACAACTGCAGCGACCTCCGCTGCTTTAGATATGTGCGTCTGTAAATGTAACTGCCTATATTTTGTGTATCAGGCATCGAAAATAAGCAGAATGTTAGCACCATATATGCACTGGTTTATTCGCAGGTACAAATTGAGCAGGCAGCTCGAATACTTCTCAAGCAAAAATTCGCACCTTACCAGAATACTGTAGGATTTTATTTCTGGTTAGTAAGTCCTTCAAACTAAATTTTATAATTTTGCGCAGTTAAAAAAACAGCCATTGATTCCAGTTAGTGTTACGCAGGGTTCTTTGATTGCAGCAGAATCCTCAATCTAGACTTAATTAAAAAGCACAAATAGTGCAGAAAGCACAACCACCACCAAAACGACGGGCGTATTTTCTGACAATGCTCCTCCCAGAAATACGGTAAGCGCAACATTTTGCGTTTTGGAGCGTTTGCTATTTTAGTCTGGACTTCATTACCAGGATTTTTTATCGCTTACGCGAATACTGACAACCGTTGCTACAAGTCATGGCTTGGAAGGTTGACAGTTGACGGGATAATTCGGTCCATCGCAGAATCGATAGTCAGGCTCCTTGCTTATGCTGCCTTTATGGCAGTCTCACGCGAGTGAGCTCCGAGTCGCCACATACGGTGGCCTGAAACACGCAGCACATGCAGAAGGACTGTTTGGTGTAACGTCCGTTGGCACGGACAGAATTGTTCGAATGATGTAACACTTTTTGGCGCGAGGGTGAAGATGGCGTAGCCGCGTGTTGGTGAAGATGCCCGGTGTCCCTTCCTCTCTCTTCCGCCGATCCCTTCCCCCGTACCGTACCGCAACGTAACACTCGTATCGCTCTCTTCGCTACATCGGCACTCCCTCGCCCCCCCCCCCTGCAGTTGCCCCCAGCGCTGCGCTCCCCACCGGTTTACTAGCTGGCATGTTGGTATCGCCTCTCCACCCAGACAGGTTATTCTACAGATGTAACTATCCTTCCTGTACTATTAACGATTATTATACGCTTTTCCCGTGCAATCTCGTCATATTACAATTTATCCCTTACCCGAAATGCCTTCTTCTCCTGCGTATGGATGCGTATCGAGAGATGTTAACGGTTCTGTTCAGATCTATCTCCGCCAGGATCTCCTGTCAGCGTTTTCTTACTTTTGTGTGTGCTACCCTTGATGTCCTCGGCCGCTACATTTGGCTCTGTCATTTACTCCGCCCGGTCGTCATGACTTTGTCTTGTCATCGGCGCAAGCTAGGCGATGGAGGCGGGAGTACAGTGGGTGCCGTACCAGTCCCGTTCTGAGTCCGCCCCGCGGCACACACAGTTACCGTCGTTACTCGTGACCGTCAAACTGCCGAAATTCAGCAAACGGCAAATAGGGTTCCTGATCAATAACGACTTTTTACTAAAACACCCGGCACTAATTTGTGACGGTTATATCTCAGGTCGAAGCTGAAGTAGTTATATGGTAGAAAATTGATTTGTCTTCTAAAAATACGACGTTTAAGAGAACCATAGGAGGATAATAAAAGCGAAAAGACGAGTCCCAGGAAGCCGTTGTGAAGGAAACACGATCGCGGACAAACAGCTTTATTTGTCTGACGTCTCCGATTCCTGCAAGAACCCATCAGCAGAGACAAAAGCAGATACCAGTAGTTCATACATATGGAGCTGCTAAATAAGTACTCATTTTTTACAGTGTAGTTTTGCATGCAGCCGGAAAGAACTTCACTCGAATACCGGCATCCTGAGGTAAATGAATTATTATAAGAATTTTTTGCACGACGATTAGTTTTACAACTCTACTTAATTAATCTTTTCGAAACGAAAAGGCATATCGGAATTTCGGTTGACATTTCATGAGTTGGCCCACATACTGTACCTATAATAATTTATGACTCCCCTCCATCATCAGGGATTGTTGCACTTGGTGTGGCGTCGTTATTTGCTTCAATTTCTCCAAGGGTGTTGGGGTTTGGTTCAATGATTGTTCAACCAGCTGACCCACTGCCCCTGGCGTTGGGAGTAATGTTAGCCTAAAAGGGGGCCTTAATTGTCTTAAGTATGCGGTGGCATGATGACTGCATCCTGTAAATATTGATAATGTTTCTGATGATAAACTCGAGCAAGAGGCCGACAAGTCATGCGAACAAAGGCTTTGTTCCAGCAATCGTGTCTCCTTCTTCACGACGACCATAACAGGTCTGCCCCAAGGATAGACTACCTTGTACACACGAGCTTCACAATGAACAAACAACGGATCGCAACAGATCAGAATCTGCGAACACCGAATACAAACTGAAAAAATTGAAAGAGCCGACGAAACTTTCCGCGGATGCAATGGCTTTGTTTGGCATCTACACTCTATTGGAGTTACGAGGTCATTGAAATAGGCTTGAGGAAATTCGCCTTCGGGTAGTGCATAAAAGCACCCAAGTACTTTCGGATCAAGTAGGCACTTTTTAGAAATGTTTCGTATCTGATGTGATTGTGTTTGTTAACGTTGACAGACACGAATGTGACACAGGCCCGCTAGCATACAGTGATTGTAGAGTGTCAGAATTAGGAGATACACAATTAACATAACCTTGTGTAAAATGGAGTGTAAGTGTATACGGATCGTACAGGAACTTTCCTAAAAGCAGCACGTATAACAGCAAAAGTGAAGGCCGGACATGCTAAAAAACTGCAGGCTTTCGCTGAAAATATTCCCCGCAGCAATAAAAAATAGTGAATAAAGTACATTGGAGAAACAGATTAATTTTATTGCCAGTTTGCACAAAGCCTTCTCGAACTGGCACTCCGCGTGCAGTACTGATATTTCGAACCGTTATTCGACAATTCTTCTAAGTGACGATCACGATCCTTTCTTCTAATGACGGCAGTCTGGAAAGAAGATTTAGAATATGGGAAACTGAATTTCGGAAGACAGGCAAGAAAACATTAATGTAAGAACTAATTTTTGTGCTGCGTTGTTTGCAGTTTTGTTCAATATTTGCTGTGAAATTCTGTGGCAAGTAAGCAGGCTTATTTAATTTGTTCATTTTTGATCATGCTGAAGACGAAGCGGAACCTAGTCCAATAGAAGTGGTCGGATAATTTTATGCCCAGCATGTGAGGTGTTGCCCAATACTGAGCAGGTCTACAAGGTACAAGTCCTTTGTTGCTAAAGGAAAATGGATCCCTCTGAAGTCTCTAGTCGGCGAAAGAACAGAAAAAAAATACAACAGAGGAAACTGAATGGCAACTTTCTGTATTTTTGGAGGTGACATGTTCCAAAGAGCCTTGCTTAAAGATTTACTAATTCAACCCAGATGGAAATTCAAGCAAATACAATTTTTAATTCAAAATTTGAACGTGACAAATATAGTCATATTTATGTATTCCAAAACAATAATTATAGAAAACTATCGTGGAGAAAATCTTGCGATAGCTAAAAAACAGCTACATTTGCTTAAACAAAAGTACTCTGTACGATGTCTGGGCGAGTGAATTTTAGTCACGCGAGAGCTAACAGTAACTGATGACAAAAATGAATAGTGCATTTCTCGGAATTGTTTCCTACTTAAGCTTTCGTTTGTGAACAGATGATGAAACGTCGTGTAAATGAGTGATTGTTAGCAAGAATACATAGGAGAAGATCGCTTTCTACTGTAGCGTCCCTGTTTGCAATGACGTTCCAAAAAGACTTATTTCAGTATTAAATTTCTTAAAAAGGTTTCTAAATCTTTGTGGAAGTTGTCACTCGCAACCAGTAAACCAGGAACTAGGATATATTCCTGCAAACAGTTGTGCAGGATCTGGAGGATAATGCCATTTAAATGTTTTTTTAAATTTTGCCAGAGTATTCTGTTGTTATTTATGGTTATAATGCAGCGAAAAACTATCAGAAAAGCCTATTTTTAATTTGGTGAGAGTAAAGATAGACGTGCTGATTGGAAACTTGCAAGTGAGATTATCAGACGCTCTAAACTTCTCGAAGGGACAGACGATAACGTTAAATGTAGAAAAATGAAACGATTATGAGCACAGAAAGTTCGTTAGTTGATCTCCACAATTTTATACAAAACAAAATTGAGGTATTAGATTTCGTAGGGCGGAACAGAAGCTGTCAGATATGGCCCTCGTTTTAGAGCTATTTTGGATTAACAAATCGCCAGCTTCGACAGAATGCAGGATGCTGGCACCTGTCAAACTGAAAGACTGGCGTATCGTGCGCATGCAGGAAATATGTAAATAGATCTGTCCGGCTCGAACTAGATATCATTACAAAAAATGGAGGTAAACGCAAAATAAGCAAGGTAAAACACGTTGGGAGTTTAAATGGATAGCCAAACCCTCTGCTGCTGCACCATGCAGCAGAAGAAAATAGACGAAACACAGATCTAATCATCGGTAGGTTTTATAACCCTACCCCACAACCAGTAACCATACGCTCGTGTAATATGGGAATGGTGCTAACAGGGGTTTTACGTGTAGGGTATCATCACGAAGGGGAAGCGAAATGCGTGCATCAAATTTTTAAAAATAGGTAGATTCCCGCTGAAATTCTTATTCTGCGCCTATATGTAGCAACGGAAGTGAGCACGCCAATTGGAAAATTAACAATAAACAACTCCCAATAAGTAGGAGGCAGTCGAGTAATCAGCCGCTTGCGCATTTGCGACAGCTCAGGAACCAATGGAACGAAAAACCAATAGGAGAGAAGAATGGCAAGTGCCAAATATTTCAACTGCGGAATGCGAGACGGCAAAGCTCACAGGCGTATTAGAGGAGCTATGAACATGCACCCTGATAAACAATGCAAAAGTCAAATAACGACAGTATAAACGCCTGTATGTATCTTCATAATAAGTGAACTGATTAATTTAAAATAAAAATTGAGAGATAATAAATATCTGCATGTAACGTTTATGAGCAGTAATGAAATGCGCTTATGAACAGGCCAGGTGATAAAAGTTGCGTTTGTTCTTTCTAAAATACAGGTAATCGGCTCCAGGTGGCCGAAGAGTCAGATAACCGCAGCTTGATTTGTTGACCAAAGCGGAGGAAATAACCGAAGCCATAAGCTCGAAGAAGGTGGTAGAATACTGTCGAGCAAGGGGACTGTTATCTAGTGCGGCAAAATGCCAGTGTGGACGTCAAATGCGCCAGCAAGTAGTGAGGCTGCACACCGACGGATACGTGTTCCGGTGCGGCCGATGTCGAAGGAGGAAAGCTCTAGGGGTTCCGGTGTCTCATCGGATAATATGGGCCCACGGGATCTAATATCGTCTACGGTTTGGCCTAGATAGCATTGGCCCAAAGCAAGCGCGGAAAATATTCCCGGCGCATATTGCGGAAGCACATCCGGTGCAACAGCGTCCTGAACAGGGAACCTGAATGGCTCCTTCCTGGACACAATTTAACGACCATTTGTAATTACATTTCTGCATACAGACTCAACTGAATTTAACTGTCTTATTACTGGCTTAAAGAAATAAATAAGCCATGGCGTACGCGTTCGACAACCGAGACAATTCGGAGATATCGTGGGAGCTGAGCGTTCGTCCTGTAACCGAGGCAAAGTAAACCAAAACGGAGCCGACGATCCTTACAGCGCGCGTTGCATTGTGATTACGGCCATGACAAAAAAGGTGTAGCTATCCCTTTGGAAGAAACGGACTATGAAGCGGTGGGGCGAAAACGGAGGGCCACCTCACGACAAGTGATCTATCCCTAATGAGGCCATACTGAAACAGTTCGGTGCTTGTGGTTATATCAGTGTGCTAGGTAAAATTCAATGGGTGACGCCCCGTAGTTATGAACTGATAAACTTAACGGGCCCTGCTAAGATCAATACAGTAGTTGGTTGTGCACATTGAACGTAGTGGGGTTACACAACCCATCCTCAACCAGATCTGGGTTTCTACTCGATTCGTTTATTGATGGCAGAACAGGACAAGGTGAAAATGTTCAAATGACCTTCTTGCACACAGTGACGTTTACGTTTCTACGCCATCTTACCTTCACTTGTCCAGTAAATGGCTGGTAGTCTTTGACCAAAATGCCTTCTTTGAGGGCGGTATCAGGCTATAATTATGTAATACTTATTTTCTAGAAAGCCGCTATGGTCCTATGCGGCCTGGGACCCCCGACGGCGGTTTCATGCCCTAAATCTAGTTTGGTGACATCAGTAAGTTCTGATTATTGCATTCATTCCGAATCCAACTTCTTTATGATCATAACATATGTTGCATCATCTCCTGTTTTCAGGGGGTGTTCTTGCTCGTGTCATTTAATACCAGGGTTTGCTTCCATATAGAGACTTAAGTTTGCGCAAGTACCTCCGCTTGGGTTATCGTACGAATTCAGCAAAATTTTGGGTGATTGCGCTAGATATTTTCTTTTGCAATGCGGCTGTTCGACTAGGTCTTGCTACGTATATTTTGTGTGACTTGTCATTTTCTAATAAAGAGTCCACATTTTTAGACACTTTGTCCAATTACGAGTTGGTTTCTCGGAACATTTTGAAGACAAAATGCTCGATTATGTTACGATGGATATTTGGAATGCAGACTCATTAAAGTCACACCACGAAACTGTTACTTTCACGCCAGGGGGGTACATCGAGGAACGTTCATAAAGAATAAACCCACTCATCAAACCATATGAAGACCCTCTAGGTTTTACAATGATCATAAACTTTTAGACACTTTCTACCACAAGAATGTGGTCATGTGCTTCGGAGATTTAAGCCAGCTTTTCATCGAGAATTGGCCACTACGTATGATAGCAAGACTCTGTAGTCACACCCATATGGTGGGGGGGGGGGTGGGGAGGATGCCCAAACTCTAACTTCTAGCAGAACCCTTCAGGGACATAAGACAAAAGGGCTCCGACACCGCATGAAGTGTTAAAGTACCTTTCTTTGAGAACGGGATGGTGGTTTATGCCGATGAATATTACAATCGCAAAATCATCTTTAGAACATTTAATCTGAACTGGCCAAACGGTATGACGCGGCGTTAGATTAAGTGAACGCAAGGCCCCTTATCTTTATTTAAACAAATCGTCTTGCCTCAAGCTTTTGTTGGAGGACACACTAAGCAATGGACCGCTTACTTCTCATCTGGCACAAGCTACCATAACATGTAATAAGTGTTGGTGCTCATCTTATAAGACTTCAGAGGGCATGTCGTTAATCGAAGTAAAAGTGTACAGACAGTTAACTTACACTTCACTGAGATTCACAACACCAGTCGGGCCTGCAGAGCTAAAAGAAGTAAATATGGTTTAGACGTGAGCAAAGTTGAGATACAAAATTCAAAAATTCACATATGTTTACATACGTCCCAGAGGGTTGTAAGAATATAAGAAAATATTTAGGTGAGTAGATCAAAGGACAGAACAAAAGGACTAAATGCACAGTTTTTGTGAAATCGTAAAGGTATAGGAATTCTCAAATTCGTCACTGCACGACCTGACGGAGTAACCTTGCATTTTGGTCTCAGGTGCATATCGCATTAACTCTGACTGCGTCAATGTGTTGGACGGAGGTTTATTGGAGGCAAAAGAACGACATACACTATTATAAATCAGAGAAGTTCTAAGGTTGTTGACTTCGTGTCATAGTGCTGGTGTAAAGTGCTTTCTAAATCATTTGATTCTGCTTGGAATTATTAGCGCACTTGTATCCCCAGATAACGGTTTTGCAATAGTGGCATTTCTAGAAATTGAAATTTTTTGGTGGATTTGGGGAAAATGGTTAGTTTTTTGAAAATAACTTTAGTCGACACTGTGGAATGAAAAGTATCAGGGCTTTACTAGTCGCATACTCTAAAAGGATGTTCCTTGCTCTGAACGCCGTATACATGTCGTTGCAGAGTTTAAGTAGGGGGTTCTTGGTTTTTCCTTGGTAAATAATGTGAGGAGCCTTATGTTCCTTCGTTCTAGCGACACTGCTGCGGCTACTAACGGATTTAATTCCTGAACCCAAAAGTAATGGTAGTTAGGGCTTTTCTTTACAAATTTATAAAATGGAAGAAAACCTTCAATTGATCAGAGAGATGCGTTTCTGTAAAATGCTCTAAAAGGCTTCTGAAGTTCCTTGGAGTTTGTCACCCGCGACCAGTAAACCAGGAAAAATAGTAGTCTCTTCTGCTCAACGGCATATACGACGTAGCATTGACAAGCCACATAATGAACAGTAATCCGTGTAATTTTTTGGATCGGGGGATGTTCATGGTCGTTATGCGTCTTTTAATTATCTATAAGTATTGGAAGTATGTACAGTGCATGTCGGCCAGGGATTTGGTGAAGACGAGGTACCCAATATCAGTAGTTGTGGTCACTGTAGAGGGATGAGATATTCGATTAACTATAGCACGATACCAGTAATGGTCGACATTTTCACCAGCATACCTAGCACAGGTTTCCGACAACTGTCCTCTTGTCGGAAATGTTGTTTCCCTCTATGCATGTATATATGTATCAAGGTAATACCTTTGTAAATTGTTAAGTGCAGGACGCAGAGTTAAGTGTTTGCCACATGACTTTTAGGGTTAGAGTACGGTATTAACATCTGCCATAAACAATTATACTACTTGTGGTACTAGTTCCAAGTAGAACGAACATTACGTGGTTATCCCGCAGTAAATGACTGTCTTCGACTCAATCGTTCATTAGAGTTTTCGGTCTGACCTCAAAACGTCGTGTCCCGGACACTAAACTTCACTTTCTGCGCTTAATATTTTCCGACATAATTACCCTGGTTATTCTCTGGAGCTTACATACCAGAAAATGCCCTGGGAATGCTGAAGTGCTCGCTGGGGATCCCACTGAGGGGCCGAACAACTTGCAGCTGCATCATGCAGCAGCGGAAACATCGAAAGAACATGTATGCGGCTTTTCAGCTAGTACCTATGTCGGGTGAACGGTATAACCATCTGCCATATGCATATATACAGTAGATGCGCGACCACTTATCGCGCTATAGGACATACTTATATCATCATGCCTTCGCAACTCCATCTAGAGCCCTGCCAGCAGCCCCAAAAGCGGCTAGTAATATAACCAGAATACAATTACCGAAAACGACAAGGGCTCCATCAGCCAGTCATACTCAGTCCCAGGCTACGCAACCTCTGGGGCGCAGGCCAGCGTACTGTTGGTCAAATTCCAACGCTCTGGCTATCGAACCACGAGTTCGTTGTCCTGTCGGTTACAATTAGATGAACAGTCCTCGACAGGACGAGTATGTGGCTCAGTGGTCATGACGTTGGACTTCTGGTCACCAGAATGCTGGTTCGAGCCTCAGGGATTGCACAACCTGGGGCTGGATACGGCTGGCTGATGAAATGACCAAAATGGTCATTTCAATCGCCCTCATCTTTGTTAGTAATGTTATTCTAACTATAATACTAGCCGCTGAGCGGCTTCTGGAAGAGCTCCAGTTTGAAACCTATGGCAAAACTCGACAAATGCGTTCCTTGCCACGATCGGTGAGCGTCCGTCTTCCGTCATGTGTAAAACGTTGATGCAAAGACTCAAACAGCCCGCCGCTGCTTAACTAAAAGGTCCCCTTTCTTGCCTGTCTACGGTTGCGTCTCTCACCAGATAATCACCTTTATTTGGAAATGATACTGAAACTAATTCAGGAATTATTGCCTTCCAAGAAACAATACTCATAATTAAACCAACAGATATCGCGTAATTTCGAAATGTAATGACCGCGCTGGGCAGACAGACAATTTGTTTTAGTAATAGTGCACGGATATTGCATGTACGCCAAGTAACCCCAATATTAATTAACTTTAACCAAACGAGCTAGATAGCAAGGAATATAATGGACTTACCTATCGTTCTCCGTTTTTGTAAGGTAGTCTACGAAACTTAAGCGAAATTTGCAATATGGAAGATTAATTGTAACCTTTTAGAATATTTGTGATAGTGATCTGTATCATTATAATTAACATCCTTCAGATACCGCAAGTTTTATTGAATATGATTAAACAAGGAATCTGCAAAACAATGTGATACAAGAGAAAGTTGACAGTAATTCTTTGTAACACCTCCTTAGACCTCCATCCAGCTGGGTTTTCAACATCTCGAATACGACGATTTACGCAAAAAATACTTAGAATGGCTTGTGTTTCAAGCGCTATTCGGGTAAACGCCAATGAGAACTCCAGAGTGATAATGTGTGACTCAGAACACCATATAATTAGTTGCTATTTTTTGAAACTGCCACGGCAAACTCCATTTACACCTTCGACGTTTGGCGAGCCGGAATCCCAAGCCAGCACAGACAAAATGCAGAACATCTCACGCATGAGACATCGGCCCCTGATGCCAGTTAAATCAATCCCCATAGAAACCGTCTCCCAGCCTACCGGGTTCTAGGTCGTCGGACACCTGGATTGTCGAGGTTATCAGAAAGCGGGCAACCGGATATGACATGACCGTTAACTCATCTGATGCCAAACTGACGAGCTACCAGGTTCAATGGGCCTATGCTGGCGTAGCAGCCGACCAAACAGGCAAATCCGTGCAAGCTACTCATATGTTTCTCATATGGTTTATAATCAGTCATTTGGAAATTTTCAGTTAACCTTGTCATTCGAGGAGCCAGCCTCGTCCTGTTTCTCAAAATAGACGCCTGCACAAATTGCTGAAGAACCAGAATTTAAAAAATAGGCACTCTTTTACAATAACAGCTTATCTTCTCCAATTAGAACAGCTTTGTGATGAAAGTTCCTTTCTCTGGCCTCTAAGTGAACTTTAATATTTCAAGACTTAAATAGTAATACAGTAGGTGAGCTAACCCATGACATGTCAGCCGAAATTTTGAGAGGCGTTCTCGTTTCGAAAAGATTAATTAAGTAGGGTTATAAAAGTTATCATCATGCAGCATAATTCTATAATGATCCAGTTACCTCAGCTTGTCGGCTTTCGAATGAACTTATTTTTGACTGAATGCAAGAACAATACTCTGCAAAAATGACTACTTATGTAGCATGCAATTTTTTCATTGATTTTCGATGACCTTGAAAATTTAATTATATTTCATAGGAAAACTGCATAAAAATATTCATTCTTTCACTCTTATGGTGGAAAATTACGTCTTCTTTCAATTCTAAACTCATCCGAAGGGTATGATTCGGGTTACCAAAACTTTTCCAATTCCTGAATAATTTTGAACCCGACCTGCCGTTGCACTTGCATTCACGGTTTCCAAACTATAATCCGTATATTTTCTGCGTATGGAAAACTATACTTTTCTCTACGGTATTAAGAGGAGACCATATGGGGTTAATGAAATTAAGCAGTAAATTTGAGCGACAGTGCTAACTTTACAAGCCACATTAGTAAATGCAGGGACATGAAGTTTTATGAACGGCCATTTCACGGTATTAAAAATCTCACAAATAGAGACTTTTTAAAACCAAATTATACCCTTCTTTCAAGTATAAAATTGGAAGAGGATCTAATTTTTCACCGAAAGATTGAAAGAATGAATATTTTATGTATGTTTTTTATTAAATATAATTGAATTTTCAAGGGCATCGAAAATCAATGAGAGAATTGCATAAGAAGTCATTTTTTGCAGCGAATACGTCCTGCATGAAGTAAGAAATAAGTTCATTCAAAAGCCGACAACCTGGGGAGGCTGGATCATTTTAGAATTATGCTGCATGATGATTACTTTTGCAACCCTACCTAATTAATCTTTTCGAAACTAGAACGCATTACGAAATTTTGATTGACATTTCATGAGTTAACCCATCTGCTGTACCATTTGGAGGGTTATCGGCTTGACTGCGTCACACAGCAACTGCTTTACAGACATTCCGTTTCGGTTCCCTGTTCAAATTTAAAAGGCTTTGGTAACGCTTGTGCTTTTGTCTGCACACTACGCTCAATGTCCCTTAGTGTTTGTCTGGTGTTCACCTATGACAAATAAATTTTGTCCGGCTTCTCAGTGATCAGCGTGTTTTGCCCGACTAGCCTTGTTATAGTAGCAGCACGCAGAATTAAATCGTGGGGGATTTACTGATTACACTCTGATTTATCTACATTTAACCGATATTGTGATTCAAATTCAGATGAATTTTGGACTTTTTGGAGACACATTTAATGCATGTCCATCTGCACGCCGCCCCCGACAATTTACACATCGCACGCGGCTTATACAATCATTGTCCGAAGGTGGAAGCAGTAGTAGCTTGCACTGCACTGGACTCCCTGTACTCCAATCATGCCAACCCTATTCCGCTGGCAAGACAGTGTCCGAACGTTGGGTATGGCGTGAGTAAGCTGGTATCCAGATTATATCCAACAAGAGGTAACTGTTCCCAGCGCATCGGTCGTCACTAAGTTTTTTTTAAAAAAACACAATGCTGACTCTGACAATTGGCAATTCCAAATCGGACTCACGTTTTGCGGATGGAATCCATCGAATCGTTCCCAAGTTTTGTTTTTCTTAACAAGGCAAGACCATAATAACGTTAGCCAATTTAATTTTGTAGGAGATTTTTCAGGAATATTTTTTCTGTTCTATTACTGGACATTTCTAAGCGAAGTCAGAGCTTGATCGTTGGAGTTACTGTGGGTGCACTACAATACAGCGCACGTTGACGAACGATCTGAAAAAACACATAACTTAAGATTTCATTATAAGTTTTCTGTCCATACTCTGCAGATATGAAAAAACCTTGTACTAACATGATAATTGGAAAGACAGCAGATATGTGGGCAGAGTGTTTGCCCACAGAACCTGATTATGACCTTCCTTTCGAGAGAAGAGCATTTTTACTATCAGGATAAATTATGCAGCTCGTGCAATCCGGATAGCATTATCTTTCATTATTTACTCACAACCAAAGTGCCCCAGAGACGCTCGTAGGTCAAGACGGCCGTGGAGTATGGAGGAGCTGACGCCTGACCTACAAAAATTTGTCCCCATTGCAGAGACTCGGCGAATGCGTTTATTTGGCTTTGCACATCTACAAAAGCAGTTCCCGTGGCATGTCTCCTATGTCCTGCGCGGCATCGAGGTACCACACACGAAGGCTGGCTGTCTGGCAGTCACGGAGCCGAATGATTGCCCAGCGTTAAGTATGCATTAAATCCTCTTGCAACTGCATTAAAATAACTATCTCTCTCCGCGCGTTCCAAAAACCCCACGTTTTTATCATCCCATGTTCCTTACACGTAAAAATTCAAATCTTGCCCTACGGGAGGCCCATCAATTAGCCGGACGGACTTTTATTTTATACTTTTTTCTTCGAATTATTTTATTTTTCTCATACTCCTTTTCCTGGTAGCCCTCAAATCATCTATGTTTTAACTCTTGGTTTGGTAGACATTTTGGTTCTTGGCTAATTAGATTTCCATCCTCACAGTCCCAGTTTTTCCATACGGCCTGTGTCAACGATGGCTACCAAAAGGATTTTTGCGTGCTACAAAAAATGGCGCTAATTTCAAATCCGAACTCAGTACAGACTCTGAGATACATTGGCAGCAGCATGTGTTGATCTCAACTGCTTGACTCCTCTACTTCATGGTTGATAATGTCGCGTATTAAAATGTAACTCATGCCGCTTGAATATGGGCCAAAATCTTTATCGACAGAACGAAAAACTGCTTTCCCGGAAATCTTTCGGCAGCAGTAAATCATTGTATTTACCAAGCAGTCCCGTGCTTTCTTACATTAAATAATGTCTTGACAAGTAGCGAATGCGAATATCAAGGCGAAAAGCAATTGCCGCTGGTCACCAAACAGGCAAAATGCAACACATTCTGGAATAACCGATAATACAAATTTCGCACCTTACTTTCCTTAAGGTAAACGAACATCTACGATGACGGGGTGCATGCACACTTAAGCCTATATTAGTGAATTTCAGAGAGGATGCAAACTGCTCGGTCCTTAGGATGACCTAAGTCTTCTGGGAGAGTTTACATGCCTGGCGTGCGAAGTACGAATTGTAAGGATAGTCGAGCAAACTGGTATATTCGATTCCACTTTTGCCAACCTAGCCGAGTTTGTCTCTTCATGAGTTCAAGTACATACCATATGTAGACACTGTTTCAACGGACGGAGTTTTTGCAGAAAGTGTTCTGCGTATACACGTATGTGAAATAACATGTCTTTCCGGGCATCTGTTCATTCCCTCACTTGATTCATTCACCGCCTTTCAAGGCGCGTTCAGTGCACGATCAGCATGCACTCCACGAAGGCTTATGGCAACCATGAAAGCCCACCTAAGTAGTTTCTTATTTTGGAGAGGCCTTTGGGCAAAAGTTAATTTTTCTCACAGAACAATATGAGGAAGAGAGATAACATGCTTCCGGGCTATTTTATACACGTTTAGCGTTAATGTGGGAAAAGATGCGCCCTCACTATTCAGGAATCATCCCATCACAAACGTCTAATAGGTAAACTAGGACAGCGTTCATCTCCTCTGACTACAAAATGTTCTGCATTTTGGGAGTCAAGTAGTTCGTCCGTAGTCGGGGAAAAGCTACTTGCAGGAAGAACAAAACACATAGGGATAATTCGGGGAGCGTTTCGTCAGGATAACAGACACAAGCTGACTCGACGATTGAGGGAAATACATTATATGCTTTGAAGTTTTTGATTTACAATCCTTGTATGTCAAAAAACAATGGAATATTGAATATTAAAAACCTCTGCACTGTTAGTCAGCAGTGCAGACATCCTTTCCTGCAGATGTAGTTCATGGGGACTAACTTATTTATTGCAAAAACGAAAAAATGCCAAATGTTGTAAATATTTGAAAATTAAGGCAGAAGGTAATTGGACTTGCTTACATATGTGCAAAGAAATACGTCCCGCCATCTGTTGAACTGGCTAACTCTGTCCTAAAATTAAATGCAGTGCCTTGAGTTTATAGGGGTTGGGAGGTTATAATTGAGTTAAAACGACGGTGTTCAATCTTAGGCATCTTTGTTTATGCGATCAGGGCGTTCTATAATTGTGCTAGAAGTTGTGATGCGTCAAGTTTAAGTTAGAGTAGTAAGCTGGTATCCTGATATGGTATTAACGACATTGCAGTAGTTGGTGTAATTTAATAAACGTAGACCGAAATTCTAAAATGACTTTTTGACCAAGAGTGACTACTTAGATTGGTTTGAAAAAATAGTCATCGTGCACCATAGCCTAAAAAAATTCAGTCGTGTCAGGGTCCTGTCCCTTAAATGAGCCTTTTTTCAGCCGCTTGTAAAAGCCACACTCAGTAGAAAATAATTAATTAGGCGTTATACCTCTTTCCCAAATGATTTTCGACCCCTCACTGGGTTAAACATGCCTTGTAGAAGACATGCACAAACACATAATTATTTGCGTTTTTGTGACAAGTTTCATCTTTCCTTAGATTGTAAACTTAAGAAAGAGCACTTCTAGGTTTAAAGGACTTTTCAATTCGCAAATAATTGTGAACTCCTCATCCATTAGGACTTGACCTTGACTTTTTTCAAAGTACACCCTTGCATACGTTCCGTGCAAAAAAATAATTCCTTTCTCTACCCTATTTAAAAGAATTCATTTAGAAGTCACACAATTTTCCAGTGGATGCGGATCAAATCGTACACTTTACAAACAGTATTAACAAGTGTACAAATACGATGCTGAATAGATAAGCACTTCAAAGTCCCGAAAATCTCATATTTGCAAAGGTTCTAAGACCGGGAGGCAATTTTTTGGTGTAATTGGCCATTAAACTGTGTCTATGAAAGAATGTGCTTGTGCGAGTTATTTATAAAGCACATTTCAATTTAAAAAGGCGTCGAAAATTAGTCCAAAGAATTATACTACATAAATAATCATTTTTGGTGAGTGTGGTTACTGTAGACGGTTATCAAGTAAGCTCATCCAAAAGCAGAAAACCGTGCGTGATGTAAATGATGTAGGATTACGCCATAGGATAATCAATATTACAGCCCCACCCAAGAAATGTTTTTCCAATTGAAAAGACATTTCGGAATTTCGACAAACGTCCCATAAGACAGGCCGGCTATTGTAATTGGCAAAGGTCGCACACGCACTAAGGAATGTGGCAAATTGGCGAACAACCAGAATCAAGTCTCACGAGGGCAACGGTAGGGCGAAGGACCCCAGTTAACTGTCCATAGGCCACGAATCGTGTCATACGTCTGTACGTGCGAAATTTGGTTATGCCTGATGACTGGCGGTTGCATCCAAGATCGGAGAAACAAAAAAGGAGATCAACTGAGCATCATTTAAGGGATAGCAGGGGATAGGCTCAGTCGTTCGATAGTTAAAATGGAACGCCGTGGATTATCCAGCTGAATACCATATCCACATACATTCAACATTTCACTCGATAGTATCGTTTTTGCCACCGACAGTTTTTTGTGTTTTCCTGCATTCCGTCAGCTTCCTGTCCGCCATACCACCCCATGCGTAACGCCTCCCCCAACTAGCACCAATCCCGTATGACATGATTTAAAGTGTACCGACAGATAGTTGGGATCCTTCAGCCTACCGTCGCCGACAAAAGAACTGTTCGAATTACGCCTGTCTACGGAACAGCCGATGAGTGAATATCTAAACGAAGCCTCACTATTCGGTGCGTGATAATACTTTTGATCGTCTTTCATATTAAGCGTTTACTATCAATATTATTTTAAGAAGTAATGATGAGAACATCGAAGAGGATAGGACGCATCTAGGCAAACGGTTGGTGAGCTTCCCAACACGTCTAAAAGAGCACATTCTGCGCGCTACAGTTTGGATACCTCGCGAATAGAAAGACCGTGACAAGCAAATTTTGAAGAATTCTAAAATCTTCCTTTTACCAATGACTACAACGCATCATATGACGCGTTAATGAGAACTAATTTGTTTGCTATGGGATATAAAAACACATTCAAGTTTCCTATGGCCGAACTGACGGTTCACGAAAATGTAATACTAAGGACAACAAAGGACCAAAAGACACGATGAGCTTAAACTTACAATTTACCGAACAGAGCAGACTGATCACCGACGTCCAGTTTCGTTGCTAACACGGTTCTAAAAAATACAGCGCACTGCAAGTGTCATGAAAGACACCAGATTCGAGCCAATGCACTGGAAGGGAAGTTTGAAGAAACACGGAACATAAACTATGCTAGCGTGGAGAAACGTACAAGGTTTCAAGGTGGGAAGACGCAAGGATCTCCAGTGCTGTGTGGCCCAGAAGGCGTCCACTGCCAAAGAGAACAGAGAGCAATTAATGCACCAGAGTGGCTAATCGTTCAGAATAAAAGTAACAACTGGACCTTTTGGTAAGAGAATGAATGCGTAGCAGTGTTACCTGCGAATTTAACGCTTCGTGCAGAGTATTGAGACTCTTCTCAGAGTGCAGGAGTGCTGTCTAAATACCTCAATAGTGATGTCGTATGCCCCACAACATGTGCTGCGTTGGGAGTGGTCGTCAAAACTGCGTGGTGCTTTGCCGGTGGTCGGGCAGTGACCGTTAACGAGTCCGATGCTGCTTATAGGCCTTCAACAGGGAATCGTACATTCAATCTGGTAGACATGCCCACACAAACATTATGTGCTTTGAACGCTTTTTATCGATCAAGTTACCTCACTTCCGCATGATAAACGAACTCCGCCCTCCAGGAAAACAATGAAATTCGCGTGTTTGCAGACAATTTGGCAGTTGCGTCATATCACAGTACGGTATTCAACAGTGTGAACCATAAACTTACGAGGAAATCATGCAAGTCGTGTATTTCTTGGACTTTTAAAAATGCTTTATCTACCTTATTTTCAAAGAGCGGCGCTTTTCCTCAGGGTTATATGATGTATCCACAACATATCTCAGTGCTCTTCGTAGACTACCTGCAGTTTTGAAATGTACTTTCAGATGCGACGTAGGACCTACTTGCATTTGCAAAACTCATAAGCACGAAAGCAATCTCAGGCGGCATAGTATATTATCTTAGACTGACTTTTGATCGTTATTTTCAAGCCCATCTGTCCTGATTAAAAGACGTTTAAATGCTGTGCACGTTTTTGTCCTCTTAGGATGCTTTTGCAAGTTTGCGATGCAACTCTATCAGCCACTACGTGAAGTCTAATACTAAGACTTTATAATGGCGAAGCAAATGACCAAGGTTTTTTGTCCGTATCCACTGCGCCACTGTCAATCTAAAACTCCCGGCCATACGTGAGATTGCTACCCAGCTGTGGGACAAATTTTAATCAACATCGAAGTTTAAATAAGGCCAATTGCAGGTGATTTCACACGTTAAGCAAACCAGGTTCCTTTACAGTTGTTAAGTCCCACGATATCTATACGAGTTATTACTGGGTTCAGCTCCAAGTGTCTTCCGCTCTGGTCTGCATCAGTAAATGTGGGCAAGATTTAAACCATTGCCGAAAAAGATGGAGTGAGGGTGGCGGAATGCTCGTAAACAGTTAATTTTCAGCGAAATTCCGGAGCCCTTCTGTAATATACAGTGGAATATGGGTATCTGAGAAATCAGACCTTAACTGTGTTGGCTTATTCTGTCTGACAGACCTACTAATAAACGGAAGTCCGCATCCATGTGCTCTCATCAACTGGCGCATTCTTGAGGGCGCAGCTAGACTTTAAGCGCATATATATCAGGGAGTATGGAAACGTTCCTCCGAGTCACCTGCAGGTGATGATGAGTGTGATTCTTAAAAATTCGCCATAAGCTGTGGAACTTAAATATTGAAATACATATGTATTCGGCTCAAAGTCAATATGACAGGCTAGATTTTGAGACAGCGTCGCGCCATCCCAGCGGGAATATGTGAACGCCAGTCACCAGCGGCTCTGTATGAATCCACTTGTGATTGACAGCGTCTGGCGTAAGAACGCAATGAGCATGTCCTGAATTGGAGATGCCGCACAGAGTACGATGCAAATGCGACCTTTGGCACTCGAGCGCTCTAGGGTATTAGTCATCGGTTCTGTGCACGGCGTTCGGCTCTCACCCCTCAGAGAGGCAACAGGGAAAAGCTCTAAAACATGAGGATGATCGGCATTTGTCTGTTTCCCATATGCCAGCTCAATATTTCTGACCACAAAGTATTATTAATGAGTGTTAGCCTTTTGGTTCATTTTGGCGCCTTATATGGAGCTTAGTTTAACGTTTACTCGGTAGGCTCGAGAATTCTTTTTAAAGTACGACAATCGACACTTTTACTAAAATATCATTTAAGTCTGCCTGAGTGTTCCCGAATCAATGTTCATGATTTACCGCGCCTTCTAGTTAAATGCCTATAAAGTTGTCCAGATTTAGTTCGTTTGTTTGTAGTTACAAGATGTCTACCCCCAACTGATTTGAAGTCTGACAATTGAGTACATCTAGCTTTTCCAGACCTATGTATCGTTAGCAAAAACTGTCCGTAAAAGCACATGAATGGCATGTTTCACGCAGTCCTGTTCCCCAGGCACTATATCGTCATGTAAAGTGTTAACGGGAACCTGTGACATACATTTCTGTAGATGGCTTGGGTGAAAAAGTCACGCTGCCATGAAACCCCAGACAATCAATCTGATGAGGCCAGTTGCACACGAACACTAGGTTTATATGCATCTACATTCCGGTGGAGTTTTGAAGTACAAATCAATATGTAGACTTACAGTTCATCCTCCGTCCAGCTCTGTGCGAGATGCCTGAACATCTTTGGCAAACTAGATGACACGGAAGGAAATAGGGTGAACTGCAGTTAGGATGAGGCTTCGGTGGCAAAAAGAACAAACGATTGCGAATCCCACTTTCGCGCATAACACTGTGGCCCTCTGGCCTGCTCTGAAATTGTGGCGTAGTACCATAGTACGCCGATTTATCTTACTTTAAATTATGGTCAGACAAGTTTATGTAACTGTCACAGGTGCTGTAAAAGGAGACGGTATGAAAAGAATGAACTCACATATTCCTGATCTGCATATCTCGCCTGCTTTCAAGCGGAGCGATTTCAGCTATTTTGGCAGACTGCCGCTGAACTTCGCTGCAAAAAGAAATTCGAAACTTTGCAAAATATAAAACTCTTATGCAACAGAGGAGCCTGATCGTTTTTACACGGCCTTCTGTGACTGTAAATCAATCCACCGAAACATGTGTCTTGAAGCAGGACAGATTTGACGAAATTTCTAAGAGGAAGTGCGGCCGCAATGCTAGATTTCCGACTCGTTTCCTCGCAGGATCTTCCATTTTGTAGGCTTAGAGTCTTCCTTTTAAATGACTTTACCTGAGAAATACTTAGCGCTTGTTTCAGTTTGCAAGATCTGGCGGAGAAGGTAATAATAGTTAACGGTGATGAGTGTCGGGCGTTCCGGTTTTAATTTTCACAGTCAAACCACGAGTTCCCGCTTTATCTGATTTTATACGCAGTGGGATTTTGATCTTTGTGTGTTTTTCCGCTAACTTTATTTTCCTGAGGATATTCAACCATATCCACCAAACAGTCGATTTCACAGCTTTTTCCACCTACCGTTTATCGGTGATCACCGGAGAGATTTCAACAGACCCGGTCATCATACTCTGGAGGGAGGAATATCTGCAAATGTGGACAGAAAGAGAAAAAAAGTTGTCAAGCAACTTCGCACGATGACCAAATCCCCTCACTTGGCATGTATGAGCACACAAATATATGAGCTTCTGTTGTCTAGAAAATCCCTAGGCATAGTTTTACGAGTTTACTATAACGTTCCGTCCATTGAACGGATAAGACTGCTTTTTCACGAAAATGACTTCTGTTTGGCAAAAACTCACACTTGATCGACCGTAGGATGTTCCAGACTGTCGGTTACAAGCCGCGTCAGCGTAAGTGCCCTGTGGGACAAAAAATAGACTGGTCGCAGAATCTAAGTGGACTTGCGTGCACAGAAGGATATTTTGGTAGGAAGGAGCTCTAACGTGCAGATTTGAAAAAAACCGACATCTCGATCAGATTGGTCGACTGACAATTACCAGAGCGGGAACTACACAAAAATCAAATAAAGATGTAGCCTGCTTGCTGCGCCAGTCGCGCCCCGCTTCCTGGAAGGATCAGCTGGTTGGCAAATAGCCTTTGGTTCATATCCCCAAGCCTATTCCGCCATCCTGTCCGGTGCTCGGATAAGATCCTGTATTAAGACCATTTAGGTCAATGTGTTTACAAATCGAGTCGGCATCTGAGAACCACGCCTCTGTTAGAACTCGCACGATCTTCTTACTGTTTCATAATTCATGAATTTTCTCTCAAAAAGACAATTTCTTGGACCATCCTAGTAAGAAGCTGCAAATACCGACTGAAATACAGCTCGTCTGATGGCACTATAAGATGTCCCAAAGACAAAGCTACATAATCTTACATTTTCCTTTTATCTAGACTTCTTATGGCATGGCGTACTCCAATGTCTAGGTATTCTTTGCTGAAAGGGAAAGAAACATTGCAAAAACACCACTTAAGATCTCCTCCGCAAAGTATATAAGCAAATGAAAACAGATGTCTAGGAAGAATACGTCATACCTAAAGTGTTTACAATTAGAACATCTCAAACGCCGACCACATGTAAGACAAGTTTGCATTTTAAAAGTGGGAAACATTTTCAGCGGTGAGATTCTTTCGTAATGAATGGGCAGTAAAACGAATGATAAACGACAAAATCGAGCGATAAATATAGTCTAACAAAAAACCTCACAAACGTTGGATTAACAATGGTGCCTTTGACTTTTTGAGGGTGGAATCAATGAAACTTTCAATCAACCACTTTAGCTTATTTAACAAATCCAATGGCATTTTTGACTAAATAACTAGGCTTGCGTGGCCGCAAAACATCGCTCGTGGGCGTATTGATTCAGGGGTTTGCACATCAAAAGGCGAATTCGACCAGGCAAGAGGGGGTACCTGGAAAGATGACCGAGCTAATCGATGTTCACTTGCAACACAAGAGAAGACAACTATTTAATGAGAATGCACAGCATCGTTTTGCGGGCTGTTGGTGTTGGTAAATTCCCTCCGATATTTATACATCTGAAGTTGCTGCTTTGTATTGATTATAACATTTGCACATGTTTTAGCTACAAAGTAGACGACTTGGTATTGAGGTGGCAAGATGCAAAAACGCTTTTACCTTTTCCGGAAAAAAGAACAACAAACCAAATTGTCAATCGTACACAAGCAAGAACTTTGAAACAAATCTCACTTTTCCATAAGGAGATCTGGAACTTCCAATCTGATTGAACCCTCTCCACAGTACCTACAATAGCAGTTTGAGCGATGTTGAAAAAATACATTATTTCGTGTTTTCACAACCAGCGGATTCAATTAGAACGTAAAAATGAAAGTAGTTTTGAAGGGGTCTAGTAAAACTCTTTCAAGTTTTTACGCAGTTTATTGAAAGTGACAGAAACGTATATGATATTCTGGTAATTTATTCAGAAAGTCCCGCAAGGCGTAAGACAGTTATTTAAAAATCACTAAGGAAGCTTGACGGTGTTCCTAATATTTGACTGGAAAAGTCGTGAACGTCGATTATAAGGCATGAATTTAGAACGAATCACTCCGGGAATACAGAAGTAATCATTACATCTCCATGGAGGACAGTTTTAGTGTTACACTAAGTTGGTTGCAATCCCTTCTAAACTCCATTCTATTCATGTCACATTTGTAGTTCATTCTTGAATGTCACTCAATTGGTTCAGTGGTCTTTTCAGTTACTATTCATTATGAACTAAAGGTTGGGATCTTGTTAGTGACTTGTGGTCGAAAAATGCTGTTAAGAAGTCTTCGATTCACCTATTCTTGTTGACATCTTTCCTTCTTGATTACTCAGAATTCACAGTGCTGTGGATAAATGCTCAAGGTCAAAAAACGGAAAACGTCAGTGCACACTGAATTAATTACCTTTTAAGCATGAAGCGTAGATAAATGGCTTCCCGAATATTTTTCGCAACGCCCTCGACTCTTAAGGGGAATTTTCAGGGAATGGTAAGAATTTTGCAAACAAAGTTTTTGAAATAACATATACTAAACCTAATTCTAGGCTTTAAAATTGTGAATGGTTTAAAAATACAGAAGATTTTGCAATTTATATGACGTTATCCCATGTTTGCCTCAAGAAAGCATATCCAAAATGGCAGCTGATGAAAGATCAGTCTATGTGAAGAAGTACGTTTGCCCGCCGGAACAAAAGCTTTATTCGTTTGGTTTGTTCAGCTTTGCCCTCCAACACGTCGCCGAAAATAGCGACCGATAGATGTAGCAATGAAAGCGCAGTGTTTGTAGAAAACAATGGTTATCTAGGCACACACCTACTAAAGTCTGCAATCTTGGCACTTATCAAACACTATCGTACTCGGGACGATAACGAATTGTTTGCTCATATTCCAGTCCTGAGTGTGTGTGATCTCATCAGCAGTGCTAATAACAGGCATAAGAACTATTCATCAATTCGCACAAGCAATTTCATAGCGCCGGACAGGAAGGGAAGAGAGCGATAACTTTTTCGTTTAACTGCTGGCTGCATAATCCTAACCCAGGCAACTTGCGACTCATGCGATTGCTGCATCACATGAGGACCTCCGTTCAGTCGAACTTGAAGGCGTGGACGAGTTCATTTGCGTGAACCGGACCTGAGAGTCGGCGCTATGTCCCTGCCTGCTAGGGGGTGTTTAGCATAGGCATCTAAAATAGTCTTTCCGTTCCCCCCACTTGCTTAGTTTCCTGACAACGACAGCAGAGCAAGAGGACTAATCCGGACAATTCTCGTCGTAGCAACAGGTCTCTCTGCACCAACACCCGGTTTCCTATAGGAAATCTTTTTATCACACAAAAAGTAACAGGAAAAGTCTTCTGGGATAATTGTGAAATTGTAGTTTAAAACAGTGCGATCAAGTATGTAAGGGTGTTTACTGGTCATACGTACATTTTACCTTGTTCCAAACTATCGACCATCTCAGCAATTACGTCACCGGCAGACATAAATCTGAAACATAATTCTCAATTACAAAGTACCGTGCAAGGACTATGTATGAGTACAAACGTTTTTTATTACTGTGCTTACAGGGCTTCTTTTCTATTGCGAGGAAGTGTTGAAAGGAAGGCAACTGGATTCCGGCTGAAATTAGGATCACTTTGTCATTGATATTGCTATTTTGACAAAAAAATAAACAATTGCATTTGACTTTTTAAAACCGAAGACCTCTTCTCTTTGGGGGTTTGCCCGTATGTCGGGTGGGAATCTAATCTTAGGCGGTACGGGAAGAAGTACCATTAGCCTGTTCTAGTTTAAACATTCAGGTTAGTGTGACACGGTGGGTTTTTAGACGTTGACAAAACAGGATCCATTTGGGAATCTTGTCAAATGAAGATATTTGGGGACCACCTCTCTCTTTATCGTGGCTGATAAACGACTGTGGTGCCTGCGGGACAAAACAACCGGTTCGTCAGCACAGACTCAAGGGGATTTCGTGACATAGTCTCCGAGGAAAGGCGGAACCCACATCAAAATACAAGTCGAACTCCCAGAATTTTCTGTATATATGAGAGGATAATCACTTACATCCCGAACCTTATTTCGGTCATCGAGTAATACAGTACAAGTACTAAGTCGCAAGTGAAATTAAATTTGCTTTTTAAAAAATAACATGACCCATGGGTTTTCAGTAAAATATTCCCAAATCTTATGGAAGTCTTGTTAGTAATTGGGTGCAGGATAACATGTGACCACTGAAATGGAAATTAGCCCTCATTTACTCAGTAGCATCTGACAGCAACTTTTGAAATTTTTAGGGAATGTGCCGGTATTTGGTACCGGTTAAAAGTGTTGTTATTTATTTTGCGTACTGACATCCCGGAATAAATTTGTTATACTAACCACTGACCATGGAATACCAATTCTGTGCAATACGTAGTCATATGGTCGTTTGGTAATTTTCTTTCGCAAAACATGCTTTTTGCATTTCGTTTTGCGATTAGTTAGAATTAAGAATTTGAACGTTTCTTGTGTTGTTTTGGTTTAGAACTAGCTTAGCATCGCATTGGCTGCCTAATGCGCAAAGCCAATAAAAGCCAAAAACGTACGACAAATTCTGAACTTACTGATCATGTGAGAACAAACGGACATTTTTACCTTCCCCAAATCTACGCAGAAAATGCTGGTGGATTTGTAAAATACAGATCCCTGACGACTTTATTAAAATCTGGCAGCTGTGTCTTTAAATAAGCGGTCGCTTGAGGTAGTGTCCAGGACTGTTTTATATCTTTGGCCCTATTTCAGCTACAAGTTACCTATACACAAAATTTCCAATTTATGAAAAAGTGCGTTTTTGGCTAAAAACTCTGTTTATTTTTGAGTTAAAGACTGCTCAGCACACGCAAGGAAATAAGCAATGCTATCCTTAATGGCTTCCTTGCTCCTGTCAGAAAGGCCGACAAGTGCCTTTGATTACGCCAATATAAAATTAGCAGCGCCAGTTGCGGGTAGTTGTAGTGGGCCTAAACATCCACATAAACATCAAATACAAGCATCAGGTGCATCACACCATCGGCTGTTCTCCATCAAAAAGCACTTACCCTTCGGAGGGCAGGTCCAGCATCTGATTGACCCGAATGCCAACCATCGCAAGCCTAACTCTATAATCAAAAAATGGTATATTGTCAGGTGGATAAAATCAGGAGAGAAGTCTGAATTTAGGGACATCATGGAGCCGGATTTAAGGGACCTAGATATCAACTTCAAGGACAGCTATAAACCTTTCCTGTCAGGACCAAGATAGTAATCCTACGGTATGCATAGTTGCAATATTCGTTGATTTTTGAATTACAAACTGTCTTGAGAATGCTAATATCATGCGTATAATGAGCAAAATTTAAATTAAATATGTCACGCAATGGTCTGCTTAACCTCGGTATGGATGAACAAAATTGGTATCTTATTCCTGAAATGTTTATCAACTAGGCTAAAAGTGATGACACACCGTACATTTTTAAAAGGACGGGCTCTTTTAAACTTGTTTGGGCTTACAAGCGGCACGCATTCGTTTTGGGCACAAAGTAGCGCATACGTGAATTCAATACATTCGGTTTTTCATTACTGCGTGGCTATCTTACTGTGATCGCCTTGACTGGTGTACAGAGCTTGGTTTACACAGAAAGAACCCATTTTGCTCCACGCGAGCATGAATAGGATAACATCATTAGTGTCAACGTAAGGGGACATTTTGCTAGCATGTTTCTTTGGAAACCGGCATTTAGAAGACATGGACGGCACAAGACTAGAGTTGCTTAACACAACAAATACCGTAAAAAGTAGTTCGGGGCAATTTTGGCAAGCGCAGTCCTTGATGTCGACTTTAAATATCACCTAAACAGCGTCCATGCATCAAATTCAAAACATTTACTTACTGCACGAACGGCCGATTTATGTTTAAATCTAAAATTGCTCCTGTCCTGATGATTGTTATATACTTTAAAGTAATGCTATGTGAGGCCGGCCAGGAGCTCTAGGATATATTTACATCCCAGAAAGAAAAGGACCGAGCTCAACAGTTGAGCAAAACCAAGAGGTTAAAAAGATAAAATCGAGGGCATTTACAGTCCCAAACTCCCAACAGTAGGGTCACTTTTTTGTGCACCTTCGACGGAACTCCCTTCCTTTCACAAACAGACTTTACAGAACTTCATAACAGGAGTTTCGGGATTATTTACCGGAGAGCATGAGGACCGCCGTATATGTGTATAATTTAGCCTTCCAGGAAGTTTCCATGAACCGTGACAAGCAAAATTAGACACTTACATCTGCATCAGTTTCCATTTGTCAGAAAACAATTGCATGAGTTTTACAGCCGAAGAGTACCTAGACAAATAGAAGATAGTGAAGGTTCTCGTAAAAAGGCACATTAGCAACAACTTGCATTAAAATGAGTGTTTTTCTCCACGTTTGCATGCATTTTCTCTAGATGGATAAGGTATTAAAAGTTGGAAGCTGACCCTAAAATCGAAATGCTGTGGATTCTGCAAAAATAGGATGTAGAGGTTTCTTTGCGCTATGCCACCTCGTGGGAAAAATAACAGAACAATTATGAGGAAGACGAAGAAAAAGTGATGTCTAATCCCTAAGAGCAACCTTCTTTTTGCGCTGATGCCTAGGTTATAGGTCATTAGTACACCTTGCGGAGAAAACAGTGAAGGAAATGCAACCTACCCAGCTGTTGTTGCACCAAATAAGCCCTCCAGCATGTCTTCGATGGTTTCTGGGGAACTGAAATAGGAAATTGGAGATATCAGTCTGGAAATTGTTGTGACCTTCTGGTAATTTTAATTTTTGCTTGTATTCTTTGTACTAGTTTCCAGACAATCTGCTTAGAATGGCTGCAATACTTTGGCAGTAGACATCAAATTCCTCGTTTACTTAGCCAGATAGTATAACCATAGGTGTATACTTTTCACGTATCAGCACAGTTAGTCAGAAATCAAGAGGTGTCGTTTGTTTTCTAAATTTAAAGCTTATATAAACCTGCGCAGCAAGGCTCGGAAACATGGCAGCACCGGGAAAAGGAAAAGCCCATGCGCATCCTATACAGGAACCGTGTTAATAGGGGCGTTATGGATGGGGCTACGGAAAGACACCAAAAGATGTGCGAAAACGAAGAGAAAAACGAGTGTTTTAATGGGTTTGTTTTAACGGATAATAAAATCTTAGTGTAAAAAGCGAGCACTACAAAAATTCGTCATACGTAACCAATAAAACCGACTCCGGTAGAAATAATGGTGACTGACCCGTCAGTCACCGAAACTGAACCGCCCAAGCAGGTGACCTATCAGATGGAAGCCTTAGACTAAAGTTTTTCGAAGTGGGTGCAAAATTGGCAGCAAACCGTTTCTCCAAAAATTGAAAAGGGAGACCAGTTGAAAACCTCGTAAACCGAGCACTAAGCTTAACTTAAAAAGTAAGCATAAATCCTAACGGTAAAACGGAATTGACGAGGCTGTCCCTGATTGTTACCGTAAACAATCAAGTTGACTCCAAACTGAACACTAAAAGTTAGCCTTTGCCCAAACTCTAATAATAACCCGAACCTTAATCCTAACCTTCGTCGCCTAACTCCTACCCCCTAAACCTAATCCTAAACCTAGGTGTGCTAACTGTGTCACGCCTACTGAAATTACTAACAGTAGCAAGGTAGTACAATCGTTGGCCAAATAAGGCCGCTTTTCCGAGCCTCACCACCTGAAACTAGGTTTTAATTGCGTAAGATGCATGTTATAAACCGGTGCATCTAAGAATTCTATAGCCTTCTCCATAATCATGCTTCTTTACATAAACTGCTCCCTTAATAATAAGGAGAATTACTTTGTTGATAATTCGTTTGCCATTATGAGTACATAGGATATAGATTGTAGCTTCATTTTAATTTTCTGGAAACTCACAATCTATTGCCACTAGCCGCGGGTTGGTCAGTCTTCTGGTTTTGTACTTTTATTTCCTCCAGCAACGTTTCCCTGTAAAAAAATAAGAAACAAAATTGGTTTTACTAATATCAGTCGGGAGGGAATCCCTCACCAGCGAAGGAATTACGTTTAACATAATAAAAAGGAGCACAGCGCTCAAACCCCATCTTACTATCCTATACAATAACCCCATGCTACCATCCCTTGCAAAGAGAAGGGAGTATGCGGCATTTCTCTATTTTTAAATGCTGATCACGAGTATATAAACGATCAGACATGCGTCTACTTTCGAATATAACCGGACTGAAATGGTAATTAGTAACCTGCGTCACGTGTGCCTTTGAAGACTGACTGAAGTGTCACCGAAAGCATGTTGTCCCCGATAGAAACACCTTTGGTTCCTTTCATCCTCTATTTACTATTTTTGTTGATTACAGGGAGTACGCATTTTCAAGTAAATGCAGCTCTCAAATGAACTGTAGGACGGCAAAAGACCGATGCTTTTAATTCTGGGGTTCCAGTTTACAGACCTAGAAGACGGTCGTATGGTGACGGAAAGACGAAGATCAAGAGATATCAATGATAAAAATGAGCTTTTGCGACTTGAGTTGGCCAAGACTGACAAAGGATTTAATTTGCTTCAAGATGGCCATGACAGCCTCTACTGTCTTTGTCGACAGTTATTTCCAGAAACCATCTGTTCGTCATTATACAAGCGCGTGCGAGATCTCCAGAACTGGCTTCCAGGAACTAAAGGAAGGTCGTTATTCCGACAAACCGGGTGAACGCCACATCTATATGACTGAATATTTGCAATCGAAGTTACGAAAGCACGATCACGTTGTTTATCTGCACTGTAAATGACACAGAATTAAAACCGCAAGTCCATGGCTCCGGAAGTTGTACAGCGGTGCATGAAAAAGGTTGTTGCTGAAATCAGACATCTGACTTACTAAGACCGCATGGCCGTCTTGAAACTTAAATCCTCCGCTATAGATAGAGTAGATATGACCTTATAATAACATCCCACCCGCTAAGGAGGCTTGGCATTAATGTAAACTCAGAAAATCTTTCTGAAATGGCATCGAAGATGAATTACAAGTTGATGTGAATGCTAGCTTAAAAAGGGACTGCATCTCGCCAATTATCTTCCCTCATTTTTCTTGCAGTCATTAATCAATGGAAGTATCTGTCGACGCATGTCGTGCAGTCCCCACCGTGAGTGTGTTCAAGAGGGGCTTAAATACTCGCCTGCTAAAGGCCGCCTGGGATTCCATCCATCCCATCTAATTAACCACGCTACTTTTTTCCTCAATGATTTGTTTTTTTAAATTAACTCAAACACTGCTAAAAATATAGCAAGTGCTGTAAATGTTCGTTTTGCTTATATTTTGCGAATTCAGGGTCTTTTCAGTATTCCTGTTTCACTATCGGTTTTATGCAGTTTGCATACTGCAATTACGTGTAAAATACTTTCAACTTCGTGGTTTTTCATGTACATCTGTACCGTTTAAATGGAATTTTTAAGGGCTTATGTCAAAGATTGATCCATCCCACCAGAGATTGGAACATGGCTTAAGACAATGCACCTGCAGTATTCGTTTATTTTCATTCAGAGGTTTCCGACTAGCCTATAGGTTCTGTTATGAACTCTCTGCACAATTACAGAGGTATGTTAAATGGAAACGCCTTTCTGGTTGTAGCTAGTAACTCCTCATTGCTGTGCTACAGTCTCAGATGGTTCAGGACCGGACTCAAAAGCCCAATTAACTGCTTAGTATTATTTTTTACGTCAAAAGCACCTATATGACATTAACCAACGGCCCTTTTATATTAACTAAAAGGACGCTGGCCTTTGGCTCTTGTGGGAATGATCAGATCGGCAAATAACATCAATAATTCCATGTGTCTGCATTCTTGTTAGATCCCAAGCATTGAAGTACAGGACATTCAGCGTGGAGATGATAAATGAGTAAATGATTAGCAAATATATTTAAATTCGTAATTAAAAAGACTTAAACTACTGACTTGAACTACGAATAGAATGACTTGAACTTGATTGGTTGAGGAGGAAGTGCGTTAAGCATAGCTCTTCAAGCAGTAAAGCTTTTCCGCGGCAACTTACATTTCACTTTCTTGTGGTTTTAGTCATCAATGCCTCATCCAAGATAGGTAAAATATGTTTGCTTGACCAGAAGATTTGTCAGTCGAACCCTAGACTCATGCTTTTGTGACTGTAGGCGAAAACAGGCTAGGTTACACTTAGGTACCTTAACTCTCCACTTTCCGCATTAGGTCATATTTTAGGTTTGAAGTGTCTAACAAAATGCAGTCAAAAACTCACCGTCCGTCTCGTGGATCGAGTACAAACGTGTCAACAACGGTTTTTATTAGAATCCTCACTCTGAAGGCGTAAACAAGAAGATGAACAAAAAGTTACATTTGTCCAAGGGCATTTACAAAAGGAATGAAAAAATTCAGATTTTGTTGTTGGTATTCCCTGCCCAAGTCGTGATGTAACATAATTAGAAGCATAAGGGGCACAAGATTTCTGTGATTTTTACTAGAATAATATTGTTATAATTAAAATTCATTCGTAACAGTGTAGTGGAAATTGCTTTCACCATCGGATCCAAAACGGCTAGAGTTCAAAGAGATGAGGGCGTTCCTCGGGCATGTGAGAGAACCTGCGGCCAGTCACTCGCCCCGAGAGAAGACCGCTTCTCGGTAGTCACGTGATAAAGCTTATGCAGCGACTTTGGATATCCCTCTCCAAAAACTGAAGAGTCCTCTACACGTATACGAATATGGAGCGCAGTGGCTGCATGTGCATCGTACCAAACGCGTAAGTCACTGCCACTAACTGCAGGTGTTAAACAGACCAGTGAGGAGGACTGTTTTTTCAGAATTTCCCAGAATTCATGAGATACTGCGCCGAAACATTCTTTTCTTTTAGTGGATCCAAATATTAGCAAATCTATTGCCTCATTTACCCATCTCTAAGCCTTTTCATGAAGCCGTCCCCAGAAGTCTCGATAGACGGACATTCAGAACATGCGAACTCAGAATCTGGGCACATTACACTGACGATGACTTTCACTCTGCTGACTGGGACATGGCTGAATGCCGTAATGAATAGCCGAAGTTTATTTTCCCCGATCTACAATAAAAGTTCGGAATGGAAATGAGTGACGACGTCGCGTTCTTAGTTGTTCCAGCCTGAGGTCATCTCAGCAGTTGTTTGAACACTGCAGTGACTGGAAACGACTTGGCACACAGCATATATTGAGTTTCAACAGGACTCATCGACTGGGACAATAACTATACTGTGAATGCCCGTTATACTAACGACCAAAAAATCAGTACAGTACGGCAGTCGCCAAACGAGATGAGATGAAGCGCCTACGAGAAGCCATAAACGCCAACGAATATGTACGTGCATCCAATGAAGCAAACCGGTGCCAAGATGAACCGGACTGAAATAACTACCAGCCAGGATCTCCTGGGCGAAAGACGTCTCCACGTCCCTTATTGGATAATTAGCGTCACGTCAGTGGTAGGTGAGGTGACTGTAGCCTGTCATTCCTAATAAAGGTAATTCGGCTGTTGTATGCCGATCTTAGTGCATCGTTGAAGGGGAGTAATTGCATCTGATAAACCATCCGGGAGTCACGAATGCACCTCCAGGAACATCAGAAGTAGGAGCATATTTCACGCTGATTGAGAACATGTCAACGCTTTTGAGTTCAGATGACGATTACATGTCAAGGCAGATATCAGAAGCCTGGGTGTCCAGTGGCTGCACAGTTAACCGCCGTACAAACCTGCTTGCGCCCTAATGCAGATTGTTTACATATTTAAAAAGGAGTAGTCTGTGTGACGCTGTGTAAGTCACCAGTTATCGTTTCGGTGAACGTGGAGGGGGACAACATATGCGTTGGTCAGACAGGAGTCCGTTTTCCATCAGCAGGTGGTCATTCACGCTCTAGACAAAATTTACATGCAACCTACGTGCCAGGTACTGAGAGGTAGGCCAGATAATCTTTTTTTTGAAAGTGAATGAGCGAACTCGCTTCTTGAGTCGTCAGTTCACTGGCAAATGCCTCTACTCGGGGAAAGTTTCTTCTACTTATTTTCGAGCCTGTGTGTATTTTCGTCCTTTGACGTATTTTATTAGTAATGTGAATAGGTTGTTAAGTTTACCTCTCCTATTCCAAGTCCGCATTTCTTTTAAAAGATAATGGTATAGGAAGATGGTAGAAGAAGGGCATACCAAGAAATATATTTCAAACAAAAATAAGTCACTTGGGAATTTGAACAAACTTTATTTCGTGAGTTTTCGACCCAGGCTCCCTAGGCTGTCCTCTGACGCGTAGAAAACGCAAAAGCAATTGAAATTTTGACTTGTCAGAAAAGTCGATATCGCTTTGTCAGCGCTGCCAATGGGTCGATGCTGTGTGCAGACATCACGTCTTGATTGGCTATCACCTTTCCCACTTTTCTTTTAGATTTGTGTACATGGCATTCAGATCGATGCACCGATTAATCCATGAGCCATCAGACTGAATGGCCTCTAGGGATTTTCGGCCTTTCTTATACGGGCAGAACCCGTTAATGCGTGCTTTATCCCAAACGAATTTGTTTTCAGTTTCTAGCATATGCATGGCGACTTGAGATAAGTGGTCTCGCCTCCCTACTGCAATCGGTGCTCAAGTAGGCTTGCGGGTGGCGGATTTTCCAGACTGACGAGACACAAAAACCGACAACTTCATTAAGCAAACTGCTAGTACCCCTAGGGATAGATTTGGCTATTTACATCAAAAATAAGTCGTCTATAAGATTCTGTGTGGCACCGGTAATGCAGTATCTTGCGATCAGACTGGAAAATCCGCCCCCACACGCCTACGTGAGCACCAGTTGCAGTAATGAATGGATACCATTTATCCCAAGTCGGCATGCATACGCTAGGAACTGGGAAAAATTTGTTTGGGATAAAATGCGCATTATCACCTTCTGCCCGCATGTTGCTTAAGGAAGAACCTTTAGTACTTTCCTTGTGCCTCCGTCATTTAGTTCTATGACTCAGACCGGTGTCACATCCAATCTTGGTGACCCGATAATTCGTCTTCATAAAGCATGGGGTAATGACAGGATTTTTCAACTAAGTTCATTTAAAAATTCCATAAGTAAAAGCACCGAGTGGAGACGTTGCTCTTGTGGATGCGACGGATTTGTGGAAAAGTTGTTGGAAAATAAGAATGACAATCTCCAAGTATTACAGAGCTGATTTTCATCTTACAAGTTTTGAAGACGTTGGTTTTACTGTCAAATATCACGTGAATATAAGCAAGAAGTGCCGAGCACAGAAAATAACACGAGTGAAAATGACGATAATTGGAGAAAGCTGGAGCTTTTTATTGAGCACACAAAATCGTGCATTATCTGTTTTTAAAAGTCCAATGTTTCTTTCAGCGTTTCAGGATCCCACTTATGCATTTTGGGATAAAAAGTTATGATTGAATATAAACGCAATTTATTTAGTAGCCTTTAAACTTTTCATATTCTAGTCGAGTTGGGGTTAGTCTGTGCCGTGGACCATTCCCTAAACCGCAGTGTTGATATTGAAAAACAAAAACAGCAAGCTTCAGTGACTTACATTTCAGGCGCGCGTTTGGCTCTCAAAAGACCGTTGAGAACGGGAATTATTCTGATGGACCTGTAGAGTTTTAAAATTTAGGCTGCTTTTTAATATCGGGCGCGATTAAATTAATTTCCCTAGAAAATAACGCTAACGCACTCCTTTTGAACGAAAATGATTCTGAGCATTGTGCTACCGACCTACAAACATAAGGACTAAATTCGATTGTGATAGCGAGTTACATTTTTGCTGACGTTTGAAATACATTATTTCAAATTGCACCCTGTTTTTTACCCAGTATTTAAATGGTGTGCAGCCAGCCTCACACAAAAATGAAAGGATTATTTAAAAATCCCCTTTACACAGCGCATTGCTATGTTAGTAACAATTAATTTTAAAAATGCGTGTGGACGAAATGGTGTTACGGGTAAGCAAATAACTTGAAAGCGATGTTACCTATTGGTGAACGATCCTACCGTAAATCAGAAGGAACCTGATTGGGCAAATATGTTTTTTCTAACGGGAAACGTTCTTAACAGAGAGAACTTAATAAATAGGGATTGTTGATTGCACACATATGTGGAGCTTTACTTCCGTCCACTCAAATAACACTGGTTGTTTAAAATAGACTCGGCGTTTAGCCTGTGGATTAGGGAGTTCATTGGGGATGTTGAATACGACGGGAATGCGGATTTACTTAGTCCTTATTGAATTTTTAAGACAAGGTGTACATCATATTTTCCTACACAGTTTCGGTACTTTGCTCGTTATTTTCTTTGGAAAGCAATTTTTGCCATTATGAGAACATCAGCTAAACATTAACAAAAAATGACTTGCATTATCGGGGGTCCAGGAGCCTTATTCATTTCCAAAATCATCTTCTTCACTCTACCATATTCAAATGTGAATAAGAAGAACTTGTGAATACGTTATATTTTAACAGAGATACAACATGGACTAAAAGCTACGCCTTATAAGACTCCTGAACAAAGTGAATATGGCGAGACGTGCAGAAGCGACCGACAGCGTAAGTGCGATTACCTACTGTTCAACCGCATTTATAAACCTAATGGATTGCTCAAAGAACAGCCCAGGGCAATCAAAGAAGATGGATGCGTTGACCTCTGCGAATGATGACCAGACTTTCATATGGCATTGTGAGTGAAATTTGATCACAGTTAAGAGTTGACGAGACTGGTCTAGATTGCATGGGAGGGGACCACGATCATCAGTGAAATCTCGTTCTCAGTGATTACAGCACGCTTAGCCACCGTAGTCTTTTTCACCCTTATAGAACATTGAGCATTGTGGAATATGCTATTAAATGCAGGTCGAGAACAGCCATAATGCCAATTTGATTAATGTCCGGGAGGGCACCGTAAACTTGGGACATAATGTCCATAGACTCAGCGAGACTTCTGAAACATGATTGTCGAAATCTAACAAATGCATTAGGGGACGTAAAACAAGTGAAAGGGCAGGTTGTATATAGGCCATATCGTGAGGCTAGATCGTAAAAGTCTATTTTCGCCTAGAAAGAAGATTTATTTTGGATGCCTACAGTTACTTATCGTCCATACTAGTCCGAGGCGTAACTTTCCGTTTAACAAACCGATTTGGTTGTTGGCCTTTAGATTTGGCCTTAGATTTTAATTTCATTAATAATTAACACAGGAGCAGCTTTTCTACTTTCAATCAACCGAGGACGTAAAATTACACGGATTATTAATGTTTAACGACGCCGCAGACACGACAGCTTCAACCACTGCTAGATAATTCTTATGAAGTACGATTAACAGGGATGTAAAAGCGTCCACAGTCATTGTGGCGATAGTCATAGCTGATGTTTATGTGCCCACATCCGTCGTGCTTTGAAAGGAGAATTGTCGTCCTTAGAATAAATGCAAGCATGTGGACTGCTAACTTCTGAGGACCATTCTCCCTTTAGATCAAAATTCCCAATTTAGGAACATTTCAATGCTCCATTATTAAAAAGTTAATTGGGGCTAGTGTGTAAAAAATAAAGTGCGGAACATTGGTTGTACTGCCCGATCCAAATATGAAAAGAGTAGCTAGTTCATCAAAGGCGCGTTTAACTCTGTTGCGTAAGAGTCAGATTCAAATAATCAATGACTAAAAGCGTCTAGCAGACCAGATTAGAATTTGATCGGTAAATCTCCTTGTCGGTTTTTCGTCACCTGTGCATGCAGTTACGGAATGGCCAGTCAAGACAATGATAACCAAAGTAAATAAGTGCAATAAAACAATTCTGGATTCAGGTGCATGGTAACTCGTCAAAGCTAAAGAATTCAGTAAATTCGGCATATGGTTATAATCCCCAAAGTACTTTTTTATGCACTTTGTTCTGCAGAACTTGAAGGCAAAACCCACCTGACCTAATAGAAATGACATTGCATTTATGAATATGCCTTTGTGTACCTTGCTATACTTCGTGAACCATAGCTATTTCAACATAAACTGGTTGCATATTTGACCGAATATCTGCCAGCGGAGTCCGTATACTGACTGTTTATTCGCAGGTGGAACCTGTAGGTATTTTGAAATATTATTAACCAAGATTCTAATTATTTCGGTTTGGATCCTATCTAAATTTTTATAGAAAATTCCAGTAAATAAAATGCTTAAAAACTATAAACTTATCTAAACGTACACCAATCCTCCACCATATGTTGATGCTAATTGAAGAATCACACTTTGTACAACGGGGTCCCTTGAGAAATGAAATCAACACGGTTTGGTTGAACATTAAAATTAAATTCTGATGGTAGAAATCAAGCAAACTGATAAGGCTTATTCTGCGACTTTATGACTACTTTTAGGAGCTCAACGAAATCGAACTTGGCAATTAAAGTTGTAACATATCCAATAAGTCTAGCAAGGACATATGACAAAAGATAAGCAGTGCGTTTGTCAGAACAATCATGTGTGTATTGCATTCACTGTGCGAGGAAATATAACATAAGTGGGAAAATACTTAATTATTGGACTTCCTTTATAGTGCAAAAGTGCACATTATCAAACGTACATTCAAAACAACGCAGCGTTTTGCTAACTATTTCGAAAAACAGAGACTCACTTACAAACTCAAGATCACGAAATCTCTAATGGTTGGGTATATTAAAGGACGCCAAAGCTAAGATTATTCCCATTAATAGGTTTGGAACCAAACCACTTAACTGTGCAGTAAAGTGGGTCGAATTCATATGAAAGCTATTTGACCAATTACTGAGAAAAACAACTTTCTGATTTAGTGCACATAAGGGTAATTTCATGTAACGCAAATTGATAGTTTGATAATACTCCTTGGCGTTCGCTCAAAGAACTGACAGAACGCAAGAAACTTCGCGAAATAAAATTGACTTTTTCCCGTCCGTTTCTCAAGTTTGTTTCAGGGAGAATGCGCAGTCAGACGGCCGACCATCGTGACTACTTTTTAAATAAAATTGTTTTTATTTTCGTGCTTCCAGACTTTCAGTTATTTCAAAAGGGAAAGTAAGGTAGCATTCGTCTTTCTATTTTTCGCATTTTCTACCGATATTTTATAAAATAGAAAAAATGCTAGCAGGTAATTTTGTCGGGCATGTACGAATTGCAGAAGCTAGTCACTAATACAAAAAACTGAAAAATGTAACAAAACCTGCACCAAACTAAGAAAATATCGCCTTTTTTTGTTTTTGTCCAAGCTTATATGCCATAGAGTATTTGGACGTATAAATAAACGACTAGAAATTCGAACGATTTTGGCGGTATTGAAGTAAATATCACTCAAAAAGGATAAACAGTTTTTTATTTGTGAGGATGAACCTTCTCGTTTAAAGGAGATTCCTACTTAAACGGTCCCTTTTATGTTGACCTACGACGTGAAACGCATTCTTATGCGTCATCAAAATTGGACAAAACCATTAAACCTCATCCTGAAAAAAATTATATTTGGCACGGAATGTTTTAGCACAATCATGAATAAAATCTGACTTGTAAGTTGCGGAGGTAAGAAGCCTTTTCAGTCAAAGAATCACAACGGAAATACTTGCACGAGTCAAAACATTAGCACACTGTCCGAAGTGTTTTGATGCTCCTTGAAAGGAACGTGTTCTTTAGGTTGGTTGTGAAACAATGTCCTGTTTGCAACAAGCCAAAGTAGACGCCTTGGGATTTGTATCCTAGCAGTCGTCCGGTAAACTGCGAGTTGAACTCACATTTCGTACTGACATATTGATGTTTTTACAAATGTAACTGATTTATACAAAAGGCCTTTGCGGAACATGTTTCCATTTTATTTAATTTACTAAAAATTGCTTCTAAATATAGTTGGGGTCCATGCGTTTGTGCTATAAACACAGTCACGGTTTTTGCTTTTGTTAAAACCCTCAAACAATTCACTGGCTATTTCTTCTGGAGCAAACAACAATGGTCAAATGTGTTGCCATAAAGAGGCTCTCCCATACTCATTGGACATTTCAAAATTACACTACCAACCTGCTCACTTTTTGGGAAGCATTCGCAGGGCTGACTGCAAAATTACTCAAGCGGGCCATTTAAACTGGAGTTAAAATTCAACCTTGCTATTATCTCTGACTCGCTGCAAAGAGATCGGACATCTCAAAACGAAGATAACAGCAGATGGTCCGTGCAAACCAAATTATAAAACATAGCCATTTCTTGATTAAACGTAGTATTGGAGGGGTTAAATGTTCAAACACGCAAGCACTTAGTAACTTTCGTGATGAAAACATGTTTTTCTGAAATGGTTTCCTCTAGCATACTCGATTCCAAGCCTATTTTAAAACGATCTTTTGTATTTATGGGAAACTGCGTGGAATTCTTCATATTTCATCTAAAACCACGCAAAACGTGAGACAATTTTTGATAAAAGGACAACTCCATTCCGTTTCAACAATGACCCCGTCTTTCTGGAGTAAAGGTTTCAAATCCAGTTTTACAGAGTTGATTATGCCTTATAAAGAAACGATTCATGGATGCTTTTATCTATTTGAATATTTTTAAACAGCGAGCACTTTAACAATTAAATAACCAAGTTTAGTGCTAAGTGGGTATCGCCCGAAAACGCAAAATTTCGGCGGATTCCCCATAATGATGCATTATTTAAAGGTTATTCGCGGAAAATCACACCCATCAACCTTAAAGATAATTCTTCCTATTTATGACAAGCTACCTAAATTACTTAGTATATCATTTAAAAACGCGCAGAAACGGAATTAAGTTTTTGAAACAAGCTAATCTTGCTTCAGTCTCGCATAAAACACTTCTACTTAATGTAACGGTTTTTAATATGTTTTTTGCATTTCTGAACAGACATTTTTCAGATCTACGCTTATGTTTTTAGATGAATTTTGAAAAACGTGAAATTCCAACAAAAGTCCATAACAGATGTTTCATGAGACATGAACTCATTTTCATAGACCGACCAATATTTTAATTTGTGGTAGATAAGCATTTAGTCTCAAAAATTTCAATAAACGTTTAGGGAAAGGAAAAATTTGTTTATCTTGATTTTTGATAGAAGCGAACAGGCGAGTCCCAGGTAGCAGTTCAGAAGATGACGATGCGATCACTGGGACAAGAAGTTTATTTGCCTGACGTTTCGGATTCTCACTCGAGTCCATTATCAGAGACATTCGCAGATAGAGGTGAAGGTGGCACCAGGAGTGCAGTATTTATAGCACGTGGCTGCCGTGGGACCGTATGCGCACTGCAATTAACAGTTCTCACAATCGCCGCTGGGGTCGTAATTGATGCGGCGGTGGCTTGGCGGTCCGAGTCCGAGTTGTTAATTGCCGCGATTTCGTCATCCGTGCTCGATGCTGGTGTGACGATTGCTCGGCAAACTGGCTCACTGTCACCGTGATAATTGCTCACCCGCGCCCTCCCCACGTGACTGATTCTCCTGCCCAGGGAAAATCGCAATACGGAATAGGCCACCGGGAGGTCATTATGTTTGTTGATGGCTTGCGGGCCTGAGAACCATGACTCGAGCAGCTCGCGGGTCACGCGGTTGTCACCCCTTGCGAGGATTTCGGCCTCTTGAAATTTGAAATTATGGCCGGGTCCCGTCGAGTGTGCCGCCACCTGAGAGTTAGCGTCTCCCCGCCTCACTGCTGCTGCGTGCTCGGCAAGTCGCGTACGGAGTAATCTCCCAGTTTCTCCGACATAATTGCTTTGTCCGCAACTACACCAGATCCGGTAAACGACTCCAGACGTTTCCTGCCGTGGCAGCGGGTCTTTTGGCCTCATGGTTCTCAGGCCCGCAATCCATCAACAAACACAATGACCTCCCGGTGGCCTATTCCGTATTGCGATTTTCCCTGGGCAGGAGAATCAGTCACGTGGGGAGGGCGCGGGTGAGCAATTATCACGGTGACAGTGAGCCAGTTTGCCGAGCAATCGTCACACCAGCATCGAGCACGGATGACGAAATCGCGGCAATTAACAACTCGGACTCGGACCGCCAAGCCACCGCCGCATCAATTACGACCCCAGCGGCGATTGTGAGAACTGTTAATTGCAGTGCGCATACGGTCCCACGGCAGCCACGTGCTATAAATACTGCACTCCTGGTGCCACCTTCACCTCTATCTGCGAATGTCTCTGATAATGGACTCGAGTGAGAATCCGAAACGTCAGGCAAATAAACTTCTTGTCCCAGTGATCGCATCTTCATCTTCTATCTTGATTTTGTCTAACAAGTAAATTAGCAAAATGGAAGGTGCATGTACCAAAATATTTCTTCTCGTAAGGAACATTATCTTAACTATCTAATGAAATAGCGCATCCACAAATGGAAAAACGGTTCTCGATTTATCTCAAGAAGGGGTGCGAAGAACTTTGATACGGTCCAATTTTGCATAAAATGCCAAGACAATACTGAGAAACCACTCATCGAGGAAAATTAACTCAATACATAACCTAGACAGCAGCACGGCGGCTTCGAATGATTACATCTCTAAAGACCCGTGTATATTTCTGCGTACGTAATGTACATCTTCATGTTGATATTTTGTTTCCTATGCAAATCCAGTCAAAGCTTATTGAAGGAGTAATTAATAAGACCTGCACTACAGGACATTGTGTCAGCCACGTGTTTTAAACCTAAAAGATTAGGTATTTTAAATTTTAGTTTACTATTTTGCGCTTGATTTGAATCGCAACGGGCGTTTTCACATCTACTCGGCTTAGATTTTGAGGTATCGCCAATGCAAATTTACGATATCCACTTAGTGATGTGAGGGAACCCCTAGACGCTTATATATGTAGTTTACGCTCTGTACTTCGTAGACAATGTTAATAAACAGAAGGATAATGGCCGTGAAACAGTCTTACAAATGTTAGGAAAAATCCAATAGCTACGTAACCCAAAAATACAGAAAATATAATTTTTGTTCAGCACTCTTGTTCACATACTCTTGGTCTAATTAGAGCATCGAAGATAAATGGGAAATGTTTATACTAAGTAATTCAACATCTTTTTCGTAGTGGATCTTTACAGGCACCTAAACTGCAGCCTAACCGAATGCCGAATGCTGTTGGAGTCTCAGCCTTACCCCAAATGTCGTCTTCGCAATATTTTCAATAAAAAATTATTCGAACGCCCTCGTAGTCCTGGGCATTATACATAGAGACGCTTTTATAGTTTACAACGACATGGGCAAACTCAGCGAATTAATGTGACAATAAGCGGTCGGCTCATACCCATCGTTCAAATAGACAGGTTATTAAATGTTGGTATGATTAACATTTCGTTGGTAAGTCTGACGCCATACGTCACGCAACCCCGCAAAACTCAGCGTCGTAACTGGAGTCAAGGTAGTCTGTAGGGTCGTGTATCTCAAAACGTCAAACCCTATTTGAAGACACCGACATAATGGAGGTTTTAATTTGTTTATTATCATTTGCAGTATGCTTAGTTTTTTTCTTTTTGGTGGAGTGTACCGGTTGGAAGAAAATAACTGATCTACTTAGAGCAATAGTTTGCCCTCCACGAAACGCATCCACTAAATACGGTGGCGCACGAATGTCACCGAAACTGAATTTGTGACTGTGTAAGTTGAAACAAAAAAGCACGTTCTTGTGTTATACTGGAAAGTTAAATAAGCAGGGCATAACCGGTTACCTATAGGCAGTCTTAAGGTGAAGCCCGAGAAGCAAGCTAAAAGTATACAAAATAACTGTATCAGGTGCATCAAAAAGGCATTTTCATGCTGTCTTAAAATCGTGTTGATTTAAAATTAAATGTCATTCTAGAACTGAACGTAAAAACACGTCTCTATGTAACTGTACATGTACAGTTAACCGAATTTCGCTTCCATCCAAACAAAAAACGGTCCTTTACACATGTGATTAGGATCCGAACATGAATAAATAATAGAGTTAAATGCTTAATTTCCACGTCTGAAAAGGGGCAAGCAAAAATTGTTCCAATATAACAAAGGTACTTAGCGGTAACCAAAAACTTCTTTTGCCTGTATTATTTAGTCTTAGTGTTATATAACCTTGCTCCCAGTTAATTGTAGTGACAAGCAAATTGCCAGAAAGAGAAATACATGAGCTCAACTAGAATATGCGACATACGTTGTCTGTGTTTTGTCAAGGTCTTCAGGATACCTTAAAATTTCGGAAAATCAAAAAAAGCAAATGTCAGTTCAATCGCCAGGATTAAAAAGGTTGAGGCTAAGAAAATAACGGTTCAACATCACAGGATAAAAGGCAAATGAAAATGTAAATCAAGGTAAATCCCACAGTGGTTTTTTTTACCAATATTTAAGTTTCAGTTGTGAACAAAAAGTGGTAGTAGACTCACTTTGAACATATCGCCTAAAATAAATGCAAAACAATCAATAGATTATTTTTGAAATTTTGGGACGAAAGCGCAGTTGTCATATTTACTACTTCTCGGGGTTCCCGGGGACCAAAAGTAAAAAAACTTTAAAACACAAAATCGAACAAAGTGAAAAACCGCTGTTTGTGTAAAAATTTAGCAAGCAGGAGCATGGGCTAGCTTTATTTCAATAAAAAAATCAGTCTCAATTAACAAAATGTGAACATGAACAGCAGACGACTTATTCAAATGATCTCATCTTCTTTTCTTCTGGAATGGACGGTTGTCAGCGAATAAGTACTTAAAAGCCTGAGAAGAAACCGACATTTAGTTCCCCATTTTCGTAGCAACTATAAGCATAGCGACCGCTGTAAAGTCCCGTTTACGAAAAAATAGGCTGGTTCCCATAGATTTTCACCGGCACAAGGGGGCAGAACATTCAAGCTCTGATTTGGTCACATGCCAATGCCGACCAAGAATTCTAAAAAAATTAAAAGCAGCTTGCTGTCGTCACTTTCCGAACGCGGATACCCGTTCAGGCGCTTTCAAAAGCGCTCATCATGTAACAAACCGTCAATGGTTACAAGAAGCTCAAATCTCAAATCTCTCTGCAATGAGTTTCGGTTACGGTGATTGAAAACATCCATTGGGCTAAAGTGACTATTTCAGTATTAATTGAGGCAAAATGCTCTTTGTACAGGACCGCGCGTGGATTGCCATATGGGAGGTTATAGGGTGTTACAACCCAAAAAAGATCGCCCATTTTAGGTTCCTAGACGAACTTGCCCAACAGACTTCAGTCTCAGGAGACATTAGATCCCACTTATCATAGCCGGCAAAGTTTGGACACATGGCTAAACCAATCGAACGGTAGCATCCAACACCAACTGAATTTCATTTAAAGCCAGATATTATCAATGGCCTCCCACTGAGATACTACTGTCAGAAGACAATTAGTATGCTATAAATGGCTATTCTGGTCTCTTCTCTCCTCGTCCCTATTAATTTTTAATTCTCTTTGTCATTTTTAGTCTCATTTGACATAGCCGCATGACTTTTAACCACCCCAGGCAAATCGAATTCACGAGGATGATCTTCGTCATGTCTAGTTCATCTGACTTCGAGCATCTAGTCTAGACTAGAGAATCCAATAAAATTTCTAGGTATTTTTGGGTTTTGTAGAAAATTGACATACAACGCCGAGAGTCCTTCTGCCCTTGGTTGTTGCATTTGGAAGTTCTAGCGGTAACTCTGGTTGATGATTTTCCGTGTTTCGTTACGGTGAATTATATTAAATTAAACCGAGATTTAATTTGACGGTGAAAATTAGTTTTGATTTTCGTGCGACGACAGTTTATTTAAATTTTATATACACTACGTACTGCCTACGGCACAAATAAAGTGGGAAAGTGAACAGGGTAAAGAGCTCAGCAGTTGTAGTGGTCAAATGTACAGGTTTCCGTGGGATCCAGCCGCCTACTACTTAATAATGGAATGAAATGGTTTAGCGGATACGGTAGACCCAGTTGTATTTACTAGGAATCAGGCAAATATATGCCTTTGCAACTACATTTTGTTACACAGAAGACCTATTCTCTGATCTAATATGCTTCCTACCTTGGGTGAAATGTAAGCAGACGTTATCCATGGCTCAGTTGAAAACAATTTTGTGGATTTATTTGCCTCTGCTGAGGGCATTTAAAATATGCTCACATCAGAATTGGTGAATAAGAAAAGTCACTTTGTAGCCTTTTGGATGCCGTTGTGAAAATTACCTTTGAAAAGATGCCGGTCATCAGTAAAAGGAGTGCCAACTGTTTGTATTCCTTCATTTCGGCTAGATAAAACTGAAAAAAACGAAATCATTAACCCAACCATACGTGATCGCGCTTCCTGGCGCAGAAACGATTGCATCTATTAATAAACTAAAAAATGGTTCAGGGACCCTAAACTCCTTTTGACAAAGCAAGTCTACTTATTAAGCGTACAGTCCTAAGCAGTAACTGAGAGATCATGACAGATAACAAACCGTCACAAAGGACCGTTCACTTAACATTGTTAATAGACCAGTTCATTTAGGGCGGAATTTGTGCGGCGCGAAATTAACGTTTCGGGATGGAAAGACAAAAGCAAGCATAGTTGCGCCATTTTGAATAATTTTAGAAATATTACTGCCCACAGTTGGTTTTGGTGACAAACTTGGAGCCTATAATGATGACACTGAAGTTTTACTGGTGTAATTATTCTAAATATAAATATTTCTTGGTCTGAACAGTCGGGTGGGAAAGAAACTGCTTCACTTCATTGAAAGAGATCGAAAAAACGCTTGTTGTAATAGACAAGAAACAAAGAGCTATTGGGCTAACATTGGTCAATAATCCGATAAGGGACCAGTTCGGTCGTTCACGCCTTTGGGATGAAAAATGCCTCCTTAGCAGTCTATGTATTAGTGAATACATCCAAAGTTCTACTGTACTCGTCGAACTGTGGATCCCAATACGATGAGTGAAAACATTTATAGATTTATGCTGTGGACACCAGTTGATTTTGCACACAACGACTCCCCTTATTGTCGTCTGTTACCTCAGTTCCTCGTCCTGCAGTTTATATTCATTGCGCTGTTTGCAATACGCCGTTTAAAAGGTAAAATAATAGGTGAAAATGATTTAACGGAAGATAAATCTGAATTGGCGAGTGTTTTTAGAAATGTTTAAAAAGTATAAAAGGCAGCGTGGGTAAAAACGAAGCTAGACTCCTGGAATTACTGAGGAAAGTTCGAGTAAAGTGAGGAATTTTGGGCAAAGTTGTGGTTTATGTCCGGGGTTACTTTGGTTACGCTAAAGAAAATTAGCTGACGATAACCTATACTCTTGCCAAATTTTGTTGCTTAACACATAGGCTGCGAGCATCTTTCATTCTTTCTTCTATCTGCTCTGCGTGGTGAGCAGTATGCAGCATATGCACCAACTCACTGGAGTCCGGGTTAGCTGCTTCCCAGAAAAGAAATCAATCATTCTTCGTGTTTCATTAGCCGCTGTTTGGCACATTAGGCCGTTCTGGAATATGCTTAACTTGCAAAGTGAACTATGAGATGGGCAGCGCATCTCGTGCCAATAGGATTCCATGTCAACATCTGTCAAGTAAGAGAAGGCTCCTTGTATGTAAAGTTGGTAAATGCCTCTAAATTTACAGTTATTGAAGAGAAGGTCAAGATAAAGTTAATTTTGAGCAGGTAAAGATAGTTTATGCTAAAGTTCTCCTAAGCCTTCACAGACGCTTGAGGTCTATTTTAGTATGCGCGGACTCGATTTCATATGTTAAGAGACCGACGGACGATGTTACTTTTAATATTTACAATTTAAGAGAGAGTTGATTCCTCGGCGACATGCTTATTACCAATTTGTTGTTGAATTCTTATTTAAGAGTGAAGGATTATTTGGTTTTGACTGCCAAAGATGCTCCCAGTTGTTCAATCTGGTCATCTTCATGTCCTAATTACTCTCTTTGAGGAACAACCTAGTGTGACTTTTGAGTACTTGTTTTCAAATATAGCAGGTCTCGATCATCTCCAAACCCAATTCCTTCGTCTGATTCAGCAGGCTCACGTCCAAACTAACGGTATATGATGTTGTACATTTGCAACTATATTTCTTACTACCCATCCCAGCGTCAACATGCCAACTTTATTCGCAGGACTAGAAGAGAAGGAAGTCCCTGTAAGTGTCCTTTGTGAACTCTGAGTGACATAAAAGCATGTTGTAATCGAGCAAATCTCCCGCAAATCCAGTGTCACCCATATGAAGCATTGACAGACAAAGAAGGGGCAGAAAAAACTACTCGAACGTTCATGGAAGGGCATGTTTTACCGCTAGACGTCAGCCCAAAGTGCTTCATTCATTTTAAGGGGATTATTCAAATTACAAAGCCCTGCAACTGCAACTAGGTCGGTAAGCCGTCAAACTGTTCACAGGATGACAGTATTCCAAGGGACACTCACGTTAGATAAGGACAGCTCCAATGAAAACACGTTAATCGACCATTTCAGGAGACCCTACAACTGCCACGCAGAAATCTGCACTACAATCGTATTTTATAAGTACCACACATCTCCGTATGTTACCTACCGCTTCCAATGATGGACCTTCCCTCCAGTGCAAAATGTAGGTTGAACCAACGATGGCCTCCTAACTAATTAATGCTTCAGGAAGATGATCGAACTCGCGACTGTTACGTCACTTCCTTTCATATTGGGGTCACAGACCTTCTTTAAAATAATACTTTAACTGCCCGAAGTATTCAGCATGCAATGTAAGCTAAAATCCTATCCACTTACCAGGATTTGATTTCTAAACTGTCGCAGATTGTGGTGCGGGCGGTAGACTATTTGGGTGCTAGCACCACTCATTTATTCCTGTCAACATAAGGCGATATACGTCACCACCGCAGTCGGTACATTTGCACGTATTCTTCTACTCCAGAACGCTGCGGACTATCGACCTTGAACGCCAGACTAAAATTTGTTTTTGTGAGTGTACCAGTTCCACCAGCAAGCTATCCCTTATAAATTCACCGTTTTTCACGCGACGCGATTTATAATATTGTTGCTTTTGGTAGGCGAATGATATATCGACCCAAAAAGTGCAGGAAACTCTCTCATGTCTGACGACACCTTCAGGTGGTTACAAAACTCATTATGACAAATTCTATTCTGCACTATTAAATAGTGCATAAAATTTTGACTCCGGCAGAATATACAGTGAGTGACCGATCTCATAAATGTTGGCTGAATTTCTGAAATGCATTATAGGTGAGGAAGGATGATTTGGGCGTAATTGTAATGCTGATTATCATGCGATATAATCCTGTGAAATTTTGGACTTGGCAGGATGTCAACTTTTGAATGCCCCGCCTTCTAATCTCCTGTAGGAACCATTCTCGGCACAAGATGACTATTTAATTAACATGCATCTTTCTCATTGATTTTCGGCGACCTTGTAAATTCACGTATATTTTATAGAGACGCCGAACAAAAATACGCTTTCTTTCAGTCGTTTGATATACAATCACATAATTTTTATATTTATACTCGAAGGAGTATAATCAGGTTTTAAAAAGTTTTGTAATTCCCGAATAATTTGGAGCCTGATCTGTTGTTGTGTTAGCGCTTACTGACTTTAGTCCACAAGGTGCATGTGTTTCTCGTGAATGAGATCACATATACCTTTAAAAAGATGCCATTTAGTGTCCATAGAATTTTTCAATGGATATGACCACCTCCCACTCCAAATGGGTCATTCGCGTAGCACCGCGCGATTTTCTTCTATTCGTTATTTTCCACCTTTTCTACCTTGTCCATTTGTTATCGTAACATGGATTTCATATACCAGAAACCTCTCTTCTTGTTGCATCCCTATATGCTTGTCTGATGTGGTGTTTAACAACTCCGTCTAGTGTTACATAACCGGAAAGCTATCCTAGGCGGTCTAGTCGACCTTGTATGTGCTAACTTTGGCGCCTTCGGCCGCTACTTACGCAGCTTCCGGTTCGGCCGTTAAATATACATTAAGCGCAAAAAGATTCTTAAACTCGAATTGTGTTCAATATGTCCTCAGGCAGAATATATTGTTTAAATAAGGTTCTGAAAATGACTAGCATTGTGTATAGTCGTGATCAATTCGTACGCGGCGGCATACTGGCCACTTCTTGAGCATAGTTTTAATCCCTATGTACGCTTGCCCGCGCCCTCCCCACGTGACTGACTCCCCTGCTCAGGGAATGTCTCAGCACCGAATATGGCAGACTGGGTGGCCTATTGATGTGCGCATCGATCTACATTCGAGTGCTCCTTTAAGTTTCTCTGCCTAGTCTTCTGTACGTACAGTGGGTGACCGATATCACGAAATGTTGGCCAAAATTCTGAAATGCGTTTTCGATTAGGAAGGGTTACTTAGGTGGGGTTGAAATATTGATTATCCTGCGGCATAATCCTATGGTATTTCGGACTCGGTAGGATGTCCGTTTTCAAATACACTTCTTTTCAATCTCCTGTAGAAGCCATACTCGGTAAAAAATGACTACTTAAGCAGCATGCATTTTTCACACTGATTTTCGATGGTCCTACAAATTCGAATATATTTTATGGAAAAAATGAACAAAAATGTCCTTTCACTCGGTTGATAGAAAATCACGTCATCTTTATATTTTATGCTTGAAGAAAGTGTATAATTAGGTTTTAGAAAAGTTCTCCGATTGCTGAATAATTTGGAGCCAGATTATTCGTTGCATTAGCGCCTAGTGATTTCAGCCTACAAAGTGCATTCGTTCCGCGTAAGGAAAATCATATATTCTTCTATGTCTTTAAAAAGATGCTATAACGAATCCATAAAATGTTGCAATGGATGCGAACCATTTTGCACATTTCATTAGGAGAAGTGGTAAATGTACAGGTGTGATACTGTATGAAAAGACATTGCACGGTCATGAAAAATCTTATACTTAGAAACCTTCTAAAAACCTCATTATACTCCTTTTTGAAGTAAAAGTTATAAAGATGACGTGATTCTCTACCAAAAGAGTGAAAAATGAATATTTTTGTTTGTTTTTCATAACGCATATTTGAATTTGTAGGACCATCGAAAATCAATGTGAAAAATGCACGCTTCCTAAGTAAATATTTTTTACGGAGTACGGTTTCTACGGGAGAATCAAAAGAAACGCATTTAATGGCCGACATCCTGCCGAGTCCGAAATACCATAGGATAATGCCGGTGGACAATCAATATTGCAACCCCACCTTAGTAATCCTTTCTAATCGAAACGCATTTCAGAATTTTGGCCAGCATTTCATGAGATCGGCCACTCACTGTAAGCCAACTCCTCGACACAAGTCCACAGTGTGGTAGAGTGGAATACTAGATTCACTCCTTGTAAAATTAATTGATATTTTTCACTTTACAAAAGTTATGGAAATGCAAGGCACTTTTTCAAGGCAAAAAATGACAGGGGTATGGTACGCAACCTCATTGAAAAAACCATGTTTGACTACAATTATAACATCAGCTGGAACCATGCCTGTGATGAGTAACCCCACCCATTAACCTGTAAGCATTTAGAAGGCGTTCAAAAGAAGCCGTAACCTTAATCCAGGTTTTTAAACTTTCACACTCAAGCCTAAGTCATTATGCTTACCTTGAACAAAACCCTAAGCCAAAGACCTCGATCCTGGGCCCAACCCCAAGTCCAAACCATAACTCAAGCCTAGCTACCCTAGCCCTGGGAATAACCAAACTCCTAACCCTAACACTGAGCCCGATACGGACAAGTTTAACGTCAATAAGGCTAGTCAAGATAAAAATCCGCGTATCGCTTGACCTCTTTCGTCACCTGTTGCCAGGCAAATCATAATGACCACACCGAATTAAATAAGACAAGGCCGATTTTTGAACAACCACCCGGAGGGTTACAAATCCCATCCTCTCCCTTTCTGTTTAGGTGAGATATGGGGTTTCAAGGGTTGTTTTATAAACCATTTCATAGCATTCTTAGAAGCGCCAGTATATAAAAGTTCATTCAATGCCGAGAGGGAGAGCAAGAATCTTATCATCGTTCAGCCATCGTCAAGAGGACAACAAAACGCCGGTCATCCTAATATCATAATAGATTTATTTGACCTATGTGCATTTTATCAGCTCCACTTTATATCCAAACTGAAGTGGGAATGGGATGACAATTCCGATTTTCGTTTCTTTGTGTTATTTTGTCCTGGAAAAAAATATAAAAAAGTAAGCAAGTTGGAATTTCATGCGTTTTTGTCATGTAACGAGTGGACGCCAAAATCTACTTCGATTTTGAGTGACTTCTGAGGTTTAAAAGTTGTTATAAAAAACAAAAAACAACTATCCAAATCACTTGTGTGCACTACAATTATAAAAAAAGGACCAGTGACTGTTCCTCTAGGAAACAGTAGAACCTAACAGAACAAGTGTATGATTTCGGTCGAAATGCGAAAACAAGCCTAGAATCAAGTCCTGGACCCAGAGGTTTCTGCATTGCATTAATATTTAAGCAAGCAATCGAACGGGTACTTAACAATGTTAGAGGAAGAGCTCCTGTTTAGACCCCCACACAACTACTGGTACGCGTGACGCACAGAAATGTCATTCGTATTGCTCCCAACACGGGCACTCCCTCAAAGCGCACATACGTGTTTTCCCGCGCCCCCAACACGTGTGGCGCAATTTGTGAAGGGCGTTCACTAGCATCTGTAACGTTTTTTCCCCTCCATTTAACTTCATTTTTGCTGTCGAAAACTTCAATCAAATTCATCACGAGTCGCGGAAAAGTATTCCTCCGGCAGTAAAAATTAGTTTGCTGTAAAACCTGGCTGTTTATTTTGCTGCATTCTAGAGACAGAAAGTTGCCTGGTTATCAAATCTTTTTGCGATTTGCCACAAGGAGTTCGCAGCGAATCAGACTCAGCGTTCAGCAATCTCATCTATTTTGCGGTTTGTCCTCTGTCGACTCCTTGTCAAACCAGTAAGCTTGACAATTGTACTTTTTAGGCAAACTGTGCTGTTTATTACCCTTGGTAGACTGAAGCCTCAGAATCGAAGCAGCTTTCGCGACAAATGTCGTGAAGACATTTTGTTGCTGATATGCGCAATAGCGTGAGATTTGACTTGACGCTATATAAGCAAAACGTTGGCAGCTGAGATGGTTTATTGTAAAACACATGTTCACTGGACCTTTGCGATTATCTTTGTGTTGGAGTTGTCATTAAATTGAAGAATACGCTACTACTGCACTTTGTATCATAACAGCTGTAAAAAGGCCAAAGCTAAGCCGCATTTCTTAAAAAACCGAAATTTTGGTCAATTTGTTCCTGTTGATTATCTAAGTGTTGGCTGGACGAGCCATCGCCGCAAAACATTGTGGACAAAAAATTAATAGCTCAGGCTTCCAAAAAGGGAAACTCACAATTTCAGACGTAGAGAATATCCACTTTATTGTCAATTGAACTCAGCCTACGGAGGAAATATGGAAATTCAGTCAGCGGTAAAACGAGGCGATAGCTACAAGGTTTGTCTCTAATTTGAACATGCGGGGTATAAATCCAAAAAAATTGTCATGTTTGTTTATTTAGTAGTATTCTGCGAGTTTTTTCCACAAGTATGCCGGAAAAAGACGGAGGATGCTGAAGATGATGTTTCTGGTTTACCTACCGTCATTAACTTCCGTAAGCCAGAAAGCGTCTACTCCAGTCGGTCCTTTTTATATCACTTCCTCATTTTTGGGACCCGTGCGGTGACTGTGGATTCACTGTCAGTCGCTATCCAGTTTTTATAAAAACAAGGGCTGGGACAACCCGAGAATAAAAACCCGCTCTATCGCGTGAGTTACTTGCCC